AGGTCATTCATCGAGAAACCGAATTATCCTGTTACTGGAAACCCTTGAGAACATTTTCCCGTGGAAACCGTATTATTTTCTTTCATAGGTACGTCAAATAAGCTTTTCTACGCTCGGAGGATTTAAATTAGAAGTTTAAATGCCGCCATAACTATTTAGCGAATCAGCGTCTTTTCAAAAGCGGTTAAACCCAAGTTGGCTGCATCTCCATAGTTACAACTGCAGCGAAGTGAGCAATCTCCANTTTTTTTTTTTTTTTTTTTTTTTTTTTTTTTTTTTTTTTTTTTTTGGTGTCACGTTTTTTTTTTTTTATTTCCAGAAAAGATACCTTAAAGTCTCATTTCAATACAAATCAATGGAAGAAAAGAGAAAAGACAAAGTTTGACTCATTAAACAGAGTAAACTCCATACTCTGCTGCTGCAAACTGAGCAATCTCCAACATGACGCAACAAACTGAACAATTTCCAAACTTTAATTTGAAATTCTGAATGAACCAATGGAGAATTTGCAAGGGTCTGAAATTTGATGAATTTCCTGTTTAAGTGGAATCCTCTGAGTGAACTGAACACGAAGATACCCTTGATTCATAAATCGAGCAATTATTAGAGGAGATATGACAATATAACCGATTCTGCTAAAATACATGTGTTTAAATGGGAAATGCCGCCAGATGACGTCACAAGGCGGCACATTTTCTCACTTTTAAATCAATTTTTCTCCAATTTCCCGTGTCAGAAAAAAATTATGAAAAATATTGCGAACTCAGCTCATTAGGCACTTTCAGATGAAGCAATAAAAAAATTGCGTGCAAATTCTCCATTCAGTTAAATGATTTATGATGTTATTTTCTTTGTTCATCCAATATAATTATGTTACTTTCTTTATTCAATAAAATGTATTTACATTCAACGGTATCAAATCAATAATTCCTCCCCAATTTGCAGAGAGTACTAATTTATACACATCTCGTTGAAATGGAAATAGTGCACACACTAGATATCAGTTCTTCGGCACGCTTTTCCAACATATTCATGTTGGATGTTTCTTCTTGTTTGAAATTACAATCGAGGACTTTTGCAGGCTTCTCGAGATGTTAAAATTGATGAACTAAAGAATGACCCCTCAAGGACTCCTGATTAAATGGTACAACACTTCTTTAGATGAATACCTAAACAGTGTGTACAAAGCGATGGAGAAAGGAGACCAAAGAAAATTGGAGCGAAAACTACCCCCTGGTATCGAGTTTTGCGAAAATCGATGGAATAGGAGCCGAGATAGCATTTTAGGCCACAAACGCCATCTTGGATTTGCGAATTTCGTAAAAGTGACTGAAAATTCGAGTTTCTTGTCATAAAATACCCCCAAAATCTTAGTTTATCGCAAATCGATGCAATAGGAGCCGAGATACGGGGTGGAGGAATGGCGTGTCGCCGTGAAGGAGGAGAGGAAGACGGAGAACCCAAGGGTTAGGGTCTCGTGAAGTCATAGCATATAGTCGTTTCAACATGCGCTTGTAACTTGCCGGTGTATCTCGGCCGTCACTTCCGCTCATCATGCCACGATGACTGCCAATCGGAAACCCTCTTACATGGCCTCGCAGCTTGCACGTGTAACCGATAAGAATATTTTAAACAGCGATCTACTCTAAGCAAATTGGTACGTAAATATTAGAGATCTTTAGCAGGACATAAAGGGTCATAATATATTCCTTTGTTATCGGCGTTAATTAAAAAATTGTTACCAGCACTCTAAACGGTCTCCACGTTTAATTATTACGATAAGGAAATACAACTACGTTCCCGCCACGGGAAGGCTTTAAAAATAACCCAGGATGCAATGGGGCTAGCATCTAGATCTACCTGCCGCCGTCCGTGTTCCAATGATCCCGCTATAGCATAGCGCGCTCAAAACAAAGAAGGGACCACAGATCATCTAATATTTAAAAAAAATGTAAATTATCTGGCTCCATCTTCGACGATATGGAGTGAGAGATCTTTACGTTGAAACTTATTAGCAACTGACATAGGTTGGTTAGTGAGCTGAGAATAGAAATATCCCTCGTTGTTAAAGCAGACGAGCGTCAAGAGAGTTAAGACGAGATACGCGCATGTGCTGAAATACACGGGCTTGAATGGGAGACGATGTCCCGTAACGTCACAAAACGGTCTACTATTTCAAATTTAAAGCAACTTTTCTCCGTGATCTCATTAGGGTTTTAACTCATATCAAATACTTTCATATGAGGCGATACAATTTCCTCATGCCGCTGACCAACTGGGCTACATTTTGCAATTCGGGACTGTAAATTCTAGCCCGGTTTAAAACTAGAGTCCCTTTATACCCAGAGTTAAGACAACTTGATTATCAGCTGACTGGCAGCCGGCCTTGGCTGGCCATGGAGGCCGAAACGAGTGCACCCAAACAAACGATATTGAGGGATAAGGATCAGGAATCCTGCGATGTCTGTCACACAAAAACAACAACATCAACAAATTGAACGAAAATTAGATTGGTTTGTGAATAATTTCTTAATCTATTTTCATTTTTGACCGATGGAAATAACAATTTACTCTTGATAAACCACAATTAGGTAATATTTTTATTATTCTTGTTCACATTCGAGGTCTGTGCCGCCATCTTGGTGAACTCGTTTCGGCCTTCATGAGCGAGAACCAATCAGAATTGGATTTTCTTAGGCCACTTTCAGCCCAACCAAAAGTGAGTTGTCTTAACTCAGGGTATAAAGGGACTCTATTTAAAACAACGTATGTGCCATTAGTTTCCAAATGCACATAAGTGTTTTTCCAGAAGAGCCAGAATTTATAGTTCCAAATTGCAAAATGCAGTCCAACTGATAGATATTGAGGGCTAAGGAACAACACTACGTAGCTGCCAATTTTGACGAAAATGAGTGAGTGACTTTGCCGAATACAGCGAAGTATCCTCTTCGTCTTGCACAATTGTACGTTGGGAGATGGGCGATATTGTTCCTCAGTCACTGATGTCATTTACCTAAAATCCGCCATACATTTAGAAGGGTAGATAATGAATCTATAACAAGGGCGCACGATAAGATGTTTCTTTGAGGAGCAAACGGTAATTCTCGCCCCATGATTTGATGTAACATTATGGTGAAGGACCTGGCAAAAGATCAATCCCCGCGCACATTGATATGTATTCCTCTCCCATTTTGTAGGAAAGGGGACAAAATTAGTGTACAGGGAGGTGCGGGTAATTGTATTGTTGACATAGGCAATTAGATGATATTAAGGAGAATTGGACAGAGTCCATCTGAAAGGAACCTAACCCACATTAAGCTAGAAGTTGAAACTGAGAAAAAGAGGTTTGAAATTTTATTCCCGCATAAGGCTTAATGTAGAAAATAAACTGTAAGCCCTCACTTCACAAACTAATTTATTTTTACCGACTTTCAGTTTTGGGCAGGAGAAAATATGCGGCCAGTGGAACGCAGAAATATTCTAAAATCTTCGAAAATATGAGTTGGTTCCTTTTTGATAAACTCGGTCCAATATATACTAACTACATTCGGGATTGCCTATATTTCTCTCGTGATTTATTTCACTAAGATTCTGGCGAAAAAAAAGTGTGAAGATATTCTTTATTACCCTAGAGAAGTTTACTGAAAGTTTCAAGGAGTTATATTCTTAAGTTTTCCGTTAAAAACTAAAACAAAAGAGAAAATTGGGCCAAGTAAAATATATAGTCAGGCTAATTACTGGACTACATTTAGCAAAGCGGAACTAGAATATGTCAGGCTCAGTTTAGAAACAACGGAAGTACCGTTAGTTTCCCTACGTTCATACGTGTTTTCACAGATGAGCCAGAAATTGTAGTTCCTAATGGAGATGTTGCATGTGTGAGGAATTTGCGATTTGACTACTAATTCTCATGTAAAAGTTCGCGAGAAACACGATGGTGCCACTGGTTTTCTCTGAAATCAACTCCCAAGCTAAAAAAAAAGCTCTCAAGTAGAGGCCAAAATGGAGGGGATATCCCACGCTAATCAGGGAGTCCACCTCTACATCAAGACAATCTCTTCATGCAAAGATAGGGAGCAAATCAGGGAATGGTGACAGGGCTGCCACTTTATTTGGGGACTCAAAAATTGAAAACCCGGCATCACTGCTTATGTACTTGCTCCCTTTCTTTACATGGAGAGTTCGTTTCGATGTAGAGGTGGACTCTCAGGATAGCGTGGGATATCCCTCCATTTTGGCCTTAACTTGAGAGCTTTTTTTGAGCTTGGGAGTTGATTTCAGAGAAAACAAGTGGCACCATCGTGTTTCTCGCGAACTTGCACATAAGAATCGATAGTCAAATTGCAAATTGTTCACACATGCAACACCTCCATTGCAAAATGAAGTCCAGTTGGATTGCATTTTGCAAAAAGGAACCACTAGCATTGCAATGTTGCTACGATTGTGCAACTTCTTTTGTCTTGGAGGAAAAACCCGATTATCCATTAATAGTTTCTATTTTACTCGCTAAAAACTGTGAATTTAAGACAAAAATTACCATCTAAATTTCATAGTTTTTCATGATTTCCGCAATTTTATTGCAAAAGATGAAGTTGCACAATCTTAGCATCATTGCAATGCTAGTGGTTCCTTTTTGCAAAATGCAATCCAGTTGTAGTTGGGATTGTCAAATTATCTCGTTTCTAATTCGGATCACACTTAGCAAAAAAGAACCAGCGCGATAACAGTGTTTTCAAAAGCATACAACGTCTCCTTTTCTTCCTAAATACCTAAAATATGAACACAATTATTTTCTTTAAAATGACCAATTTCTTGGTGGGAAGCCAAAACTATTATCTTTTCTGGGAGATTTTTTTGATAATTATGAAGAAGCAACATTTTTACAACACTGTAATCGCGCTGGGTTCAAATGCGATCCATTGGATAGAACAATGCGAGAAAGCGTGCATGAAATAGTGTGAGTTCGGGTACTACCAAAAATGATCTTGCGAACATCAATGTCAAAACTGTAGAATTCATTTATTTATCTAGATGATGCGATTTTAAAGAAATACATTTAACCATGAAAAAATAGTAACTTAATGAAATAGTAAAAAAATAGTAACTTTAATGAGACATCGTTTCAAGGCAATTACCTCAATAGTACATTTATATATAATACGATTTAAACAGTGGCGGTAACTGAAAAGTTTATCAATAAAGTTGAAGTCAAGTGGTCGCCAAGGTCTAAAACCGGTGTGAGTTTCAGGACGAATGTTTCTACAAATACAGGACGTAGATAAAATATAACAACAAAAAAAAGGGAGTGAAGAGACATACGTATAACAAAGACCTCGAAGTACATCAAAAGGCACATTCTTCGACGCTTACGAGAAAATTTTGCTCAAAAAAAGATCAATCTGTCATGAAAAGAAGCTCGTAATTAATGTATTCTAAAGGGTGTTCGAAAAGTTCTAAAATTGACCTAATTGAGGTAGAGATTTGTTCCCAGGTCAAAGGGGGCTACTTTTTGACCCCCCTATTATTTTCAGGCACCCCTTCCTGGGAGGGAGGGGAGGGGACGGACGGACTCCAATTTTTTTATTTCAAATGGGAAGATCCCATTTGTTGTACCTCATTCGATTCGAAAGAAGATGAGAAAAGAAAATTTTTCGCGCCAAGCCGAAGTCATTATCTTCAATCGTTTCATGGCGGCCGGTCAAAGTTCCAAACAGCCGAAAATTGGCTCTTCGGCTATTTGCGCATGGATATGCATGAATCTCGATAACTAGGGGTATTTTGGCACAAGAAGAACAAATTCGACGTTTTTTTTTTTTTTTTTTTTTTTTTTTTTTTTAAACCTAATTTTTTAAAATGGCCGCCGGTTACGGTTCAAAAAGACCAAAAATTGACACACTCAATTGTCTGCCGATAAATTCGTTTTTCTCGCGCCAAAATAGCCGTAGTTACCGAGTTTCAGGCGAACCCATCAGCAAAAAACGAGTTAGTTAAGTTTCGGTCATTTTGGACCTTAACCGGCGGCCATTTTAAAAAATGAGATTTATTTAAAAAAGAAAAAAAATCTTACGTCAAATTCATTCGTCTCGTACCAGAATACTCCCAAATACTGTGTTTCAGGCAAACCAATAGGCAAATAGCCCAGGTGGCAATTTTCGGTCACTTTGCAGAACTTTGACCGGCCGCCATTTTGAAACGATTTAAGATAATGACTTCGGCTTCGCGCGAAAAATTTTATTTTCTCATCTTCTTTCGAACGAGGTGTCACCAGGAGGATCTTCCCATTTGAGGAAAAAAAGTTGGAGTCCGTCCTTCCCCCTCCTAAGGGGGGGGGGGGGGCGAAAAAATAGAGGGGTCAAAAAGTAGCTCCTATTGACCGGGGAACGTCCTCCAAGTTTCAAATCTCTACCTCAATCAGGTCAAAAGTTAGAGGGGGGGGGGCGACTTTACGAACACCTTGTATGATAAAGATTGCACTACCCGAGGATTTTCCATGGGTAAATTATCCTCTTAAAATTCGTAAGATATTGTGCATGGCTAGTACGGCCAAAAGACTTGAGTTAATACTTCCATATATGATGCCGTCATCGGACTGATAAAGTCTGTTAAGGTTTTACTTCGTTGCAAACATTGATTAAAATTAGCAACTCGTGGTTGCACAACGGCTGCATGATTAATTCTCGTAATTCGAAAGGTATATTTTTCGAAAATTCACACAGGTGACCGAACATTTGCATTGCTTTTTTCATTAGTGTGACTTTATAATTACAATTCCGGAACCTATGATAAATTATGGGAGAATACAATGGGAACTGAGCAAAGTAGCTTTTCGACTTTAGTGTACATCGAATGGACTTGTTCTTTAGGAACCGTATTATTTGGGGCATCGTGGCGTTTAATACATCGTAGTACGTTATCGTCGAGTCTCCCACCGATTCTGTTTTCAAGAGCGTGACCTCATTGACACATTCTTCCAAGAACGTTGATGGTACCAATTTCAGGACCCATTCGGGAAGTTGGTCTTTCCGCAACCGCACACTTCCAAACACATTTGTACTCACAATAGTATCTTTGTTCACTACCAAATCAGCACTCGCCAACATAACAATGTGTCGGGACAGCGCTTTTTTCATTTCGTGTCTTACATTATTCTGAGCGCTATTCTCGTAATTAGCCTCGATATTCACATCGATAAAATCATCATAATCGTAATACTCCATAACAACGGGCTCTAATTCCACCGGTTCAAGTTCATCCAACACGTTTTTAACGAATAGACAAGAGAGTCCCGGATTACCAACTTTGAGGACGGTTCGAAAGCATCCGGTGTTGAATGTTTTGATCGCCTCTCGAAGGATATCGCTGAAGAATTCAGCTTCGCGAACATCGTCGATTTCGAAAAGGTATTTGATAGTTTTATTATCTTCTCGAGAGAGAGCCAGAATGAGAAGTTCCTTCATGACGTCCTTAGGTGCAGCATCGGGCACCGTGCGATTCGGGCGCGGTTTCAGGTGCACGACGGCACCCCACCTGAGCAGATCCTCGAAAATCTGCCGGTCCCCCAACTTCAGAACTCCGTCGAGAATCTTTATATTCTTCGCGTCTTCCGGCAAAAGTTTGAACCCGTAATCGAAGAGTTTCCGCACCGAGCATTTGTCAGTGGTCGAACACATCAAGATCTCTTTGAACATGTCTCGGTGTTTATCGATGTCCAAACCCCCCTTGTTGAGGAGCATCGACAGGCAGTCAGATCCTGCTCCGGCGGCGAGTTTTAAGGCACTACCGAACTGCGTATTCGCATTGACATCTGCCCCATTGTCGATCAATATACGGATACGGTCGGTGCTTTGTTGCCGTTGGAGAGCCACAAGGAACGGCGTGGCTCCCTTCGCATCTTCCGCGTTGACGTTTGCCCCGCTTTCCAACAAACGTGTCAAAATGTCCTGCGATACGTAGAAGGGATACGTGTCGATTGCTAGGAGGAGAGGTGTTTTGCCGTCCACTCTCCTGGCTTCCAAGTTGGCACCGCTTTCCACCAGGATCGCCACAAGCCGCGTGTATTTTCTCCTAACGGCGTAGTGCAATAGTGTGCCACCATCCTTGTGGCGGAGTTTTAAATTGGGCCCCGCGGTCAGTAACCTGGTCAAAATTTGTAGATTCGCCTCGTAGAGCAATGAATGGCGGACAAGGACATGATATAGCAATGACAAAGCGTCGTCTTCCGTGCGCCATCTCGTGGTCTCGTCGACGATGTAGCGAACGAGGAGGACTGGCAGGAGGTCGGAGTTGGAGGGGTCCACAGTGACGATTAAACGACCGGAGGAGTCGACGATATGGTGGCCCACTCTGACAACCATCTCGACCAATTCCAGTCTCTCGGATCTGGCCGCCTCCAGGAGGAAAGGCGAGAGGAGCTCGTCCGTCCTCAAGACGATGACGCCGTTTTGCCCGAAGACTTTGGCGAGGGCATCAAACCGATCGATGCGAGGCAGAAGAGCGTACAGGACGATTTTGCTGCGAAAGAGAGGGGGCTGCGTTCCTGGTCCCGCCTCCTCGGTGCGGGCGGTGTCCCCTTCGGCCCTTTCCTTGTGGGCAACCAAGAGGAGCACTTGCAAGTACTCCTGCTCTCCCTCTGCCATAATCCAGGCTCCCTGAAACAAGGGAAAACTGAGTTGTATCGATACTGTACGGCTCATGGAGATGTTTCTGCTGTGAAAGCGCCGAATCGTCAGTGTACGGAGCTTAAAAGTTCCGTGGTTAGGGTTACTTTGAGTTTCCTTTCTTTTTTTGGTCGGTGAACCAAAAGGATTTGTTTCATCGACCAAAATCGACCGAAACCATGGGTCGCTCTGAGACTTGGCAGGAGGCCGCTGCCGTCACTGCATCGTAATCGAATCTCTCTCTCGTTCTCAATGCTTGGGGAAAAAATATATTTTTCCTTTGTGACTGTAAGAGTTTGTCCGCCGTTTTGGGCACATGAATGCCCCACGCACTATTTAATCATCATTACGTATTTTTTCCTTGACACAGTGTTTTACCTAATTAAGTTGTTTTACTTAGGTATTTTTTTCCGCTGGACTGTGAAGTGTGTATCTCTGGCAGATACATGAGGTGTACTGTAAGAGTTTTTCAATGTAGCTTCTGCCCTGACCTCATTTGCAACATCCCTTAACTGCGAAATGAGATACTTAGGGTGTCTGCTAAAACAGGCTGGCCAAAAATAAGTACTTTTAGAGTATTTTTCAGTGGATTCTCAAGAAATTCAGCACCTCCTCATCAGAAAAATTCCGTACTTTTTCAGTGCCTCCAATACACGGAATTCGAAAATTGTTGAAAATTTGGAATTCTCGCTCGAACTGCGACAATAATGGCGTGAACACAAAATTCATTGGTGGCTTGAAGATCAACTGACTGCATATTCGCCATCTTGCAGGCAAATACTACCCTAAGAATCAACGCGTAGGAAACTGCATACTTTCAAGGTTTTATAAAAATAATAAGCGTGGTCCGCAGGAAAAAATTCCGGACCTTCCTCCGGGATTCCCGCAATTTTTCGGTACTTCCGGACCGCCTTTAAAAAATCAGTACTATTTCAGGACTTTCCAGGAATGTCGAGCTAGCGGTTACCCTGTACGTAGGTTTAAGGTAATTCTTATCGGATTAGTCTTCAGAATCCAGTTTTCTTTAAGTTTGTTGGTAATGCCTCGCTCTAGTTAAGATCAGCGAGATAAATTACCTAGTGTTTACGTCACTTCTGTGTTTATTATGTACTCTTGCGTCACTAAGTGAATTTATCAAAAAAAAAAAAAAAAAAAAAAAAAAAAAAAAAAAAAAACCCCTCAAGAGACTTTGCACGGTAGGCAGCTTTACATATACGGATGCGGCTGGATGCAACTTCTGTTGCCCGATGGACGCACGTGTTGCCTACAGGAAAAACAGAAGACACTTGGGTAGGTTTACGATTTATATGTATAAAAGCGCCTAGCTATATGTAGAGGAGGAATAAACAGAGGGCACTTAATGCTTGCTCCTAATGCAGTGCCATAATGCCATGCGCTATGTAATTGAGCAGGGGACCACTTCGAAACTCAACTTTAGATTTAAAGCTTCATAAAATTTCTGTTGGCGTGATGTCTTATACAGTTCAAAATTTCCATGTTCATGGTTACTTTGAGTTACTCCTTAAGGGCAGATCAACCAAAAGGACTTTGTCTACTAAGGAGTTCGAATAGTTGCTCGCTCGGTTTCGGTTTGGTGAGAAGTGAAAAATGACGCGCTATTCATCACGCTATCGCGGAAAATGTGCGAGTTTTACAGCGGATTCGTTGAATCCTAAACGATCCCACGCTTTAAACAATTTAAGAGAAACTAGGCGATAATCAGTGGCGTAACGAACTTCCGCTGGGCCCCCCTGCAAAATTTTTTCTAGGGGCCTCCCAAGTGGATAAAATTCCAAAATCATCCCCCCCTCTCCCTTCCTCACCCCTCCCCGTTTTTTTTTTCGTATGGTCTAGGCCCGCAGCCCGAAAATTTTTTAGAAAATCAGCCTTAACCACCAAAAAATCAAAGTGGCAGTAGCTTATATCTTTTTATCTTTAGGTATGGTATGTGCAGGATTTAGCCTACTTTTACTTGATGTTCTAAGGTAGAATTTGATTCACTTGCATGTTTGCGCAAATAAATATATTTTTAAAAAAATAAAAACGTAAAAGTACCCGATTAAATGCGGAGTTCCGAAAGGATCAACGATCTAAAGGAAGGCGGGGGCTCAGCCCAGGCCCACGAATCAAAGGGCCCCCAAGGCTTTTAGATTCTTGGGCCTCCCAAAACCCGAAATACGAAAAGTGGAATCATTGAGTGGACATGGGAAGGCAGGGGCCCTCCAGCAAACAAAAAGTTAGGAACAGTCCAAGAAAAGTATGAAAAACCCCGAGCTAACAATAAAAATCAAAGGAAGAAGCCCCATCTCGATAAGTGAAGGCCCAAAGTTTGAAACCAAAGCTGAGGATCAAAGAGAGAGAGAGAAAAAAATTCCGGCGGCCGAGGGCCCCCTAGGCGGCAGGGCCCCCCTGCATAGCAGGGTCTGCGGGGGCGCCCGTTACGCCACTGGCGATAATCTTCGCGATATCGCGGCAAATACGCGATTTCTCCAGCGGTTTGTAAAATCATTAAAATTATGCGTATTCACCTCATATCGCGACACAAAGGCATATTTCCCGGCGGAATGAGAAGAAGGTAAAAGACCACTCAATTTTCACCTTATCGGTATCGCGGAAAATTCGCGAGTTTTACTTCGACGCGAGCGTGGAATTCATACAGGTCATTAATTTGTGATGGGCAATGAGTTATGAAACTCCTTCAATTTTGCGTGATACCACATACCTACTTCGGAGTTCGAATAGTTGCTCGCTCGGTTTCTGTTTGCTGAGAAGTGAAAATTGACGCGCTATTCATCACAGTATCGCGGAAAATGTGCGAGTTTTACAGCGGATTCGTTGAATCCTAAACGATCCCACGCTTTTCAACTGGATATCACGGAAAATGAGCGGTCCTTCCTGCGATTGCAAACAATTTCAGAGAAACTAGGCGATAATCTTCGCGATATCGCGGCAAATACGCGATTTCTCCAGCGGTTAGTAAAATTATTAGAATTTCGCGTATTCACCTCATATCACGACACAAAGGCATATTTTCCAGCGGAAGAAGAAGAAGGTATAAAACCACTGAATTTTCACCTCGATATCGCGGAAAATTCGCGAGTTTTACAATGGTGCGAGCGTAGAACCGTGCGGCACTTTTTGCGCCCCTGGGAATATAAGGGACACAGAAAAAAATGGGTTGCTGATTGAATAATTCAATTGATAAAAAATGTGACTGCAATGTTTCAAATGTTTTTACAATAGTGGAAAGCTAATTTAACCATGGGAATGGCTAAAGTTGTAAAATCTACATTTAACATTGCAGTCATTCCTTTTACAACAGAATTGTTGGATCAGCAATTTACTTTTTTCCGTATATGTACCTTTTAACAGGTCTTGTCACAAATTAAAACTTCCAGAACACTTACTTGACTTAGTAGACTCAGTTCAGGGTTTCAGCTACATCTACAAACAGATAAACAAATAACAAATTGTTAAAATTAGAGTAGACAAGATAAAGGAATAGGGCTGAATTCATATTACCTGAAAGGGAAAGAAGTCAAAAAAGGTATGGAAAATGAGCTTCCCCCTTCAACTCATGCAAGTTTTAATAGATTTTTTTTTCTTTTCTTTCTTTTTTTTTTGGTGTCTCGAGGAGATAAAAAAATCCGCTAACCAGATACCTACCAAACTTTGACCGACCGTCACCAACCTCATAAAGGTTTCGTGTGATTCACAGGAGATAGTTCGGCTCGTCCTCAGAAAAGTAGGTTTTCACATGGAGCCAAAAAGGAATCTCAGTGAATTAACAATGTATACAGCTTCGTTTTTTGAGAAAAGAGTCTTGACATTTTTCAAACAGGACGAATTAATCCTTCTCCTTCACATTATTCAGGAGGATTTACATTACATTCACCTTTAAGTGCCTACATATGATTTGCCTACATATGATTTGCCTCAATGTGAATAAAAAGCATATGAAATTTTGGAGATTATAATTTTAGAAATACTTGTGCCGAGAGTGAATGCACGCACTTCGTTGAAATTTTTCTGAATATTCTTCTTGATTTTCCTACTAATTACAGAAAAAATGCTGGAGAAACAGTCCATTAGATTCTTCTCTAAAACTAAAATAAAGACGGATTCTGGGACATCGCAATCGGTGTTTTGCTATTCTGTCTTTCCCCTGAAATTTTAGGAGCCACCTTGGCTGAAAAGTCCAATTATTCGGAGCCAAAGCAACTTTTTGCATACTCATCATGTTTCGCTGCTGTTTTACAATTGCAAGTTTGAAAACATCAGTGCCGTGCAAAAGCCTTTTTAAGTGCGGAACCGACGAATGCCGCTCAGTCCGCTGCCTTTTCTACCGAAGGTTGAAACTGTTTAGTTTTGGAGGCTGTCGAAAAATTCGTGAATCGATCGACAAACGCGTGAGTATCGACAAACTTGTGAGTCGATCGGTTCACGTTTTGGATTTTCGATGAGCTTTCAGACGTTGCCAAATATCCTCCGAGAAAAACCGAATTTACAGGGAAAGTTGTGGATATTTTTTTTCAAAATTTTTAGAGAATTTCGTACGCAATTCAGTCTAAAACCTCTAAAAATTTGGAGGAAAAAATAAACATAGATTTCGTCAAAAATACATATTTTATTCGGGGAAGCTTGGCAACGCTCGAATGTTCATACGGCGTTCCTCCTTAGCACGGCAGAACACTGCTACCTAGTCGAGAGCGAGAAAATGCTTATCAAGGTACGGAACTTAATGGCAATTGAACGGAGTTAAACAGAAAGGAACCAAGCCACATCAGGATCGAACCGAGAAAAAGAGGCTTAAAGTTTAGCTCCTGCATAAGACTCAATGTAAAAGATAAACTTCAAGTTCAATTTCTGCAAAATTTGCTCCAACAAAAACTTTGAATTTTTGGCGATAGATAGTAGAGCAGTGGTTGAGTTCAAAACCACTCATAACTCAATTTTTCCCAAAATGTGGGTTGGTTCCTTTCTGCTTAACTCAGTCCAATTGGCGCGGCGGGCGTGGGGCGCTACCGACCCGCGCCGAGGAAATCTCGGCTGAAGGAACGTCTGGACGCCGCGGAAAGATGCCGAAAAATTCCGCTAAGTCCGCTGCCTTTCCTACCAATTTTCGAATGTGTTTAGTTTGGTTGGATTCGATCGACAAACGCGTGAAACGATCGACAAAATCCGTGAGTCAATCGACAAACCCGTGAAACGATCGACAAAATCCGTGAAACGATCGACTAAAGCCGTGAATCGATTGACAAACCCGTGAATCGATCGACAAAGCTGTGAGTCGATCGAATCACGTCGATCGGTTCACGTTCTTCGAAACTTTGGTGGTTTTTTAAAACTTAATTTTCGAGCATTTCGCGTCGATAGATTCACGTTTTTTCCCCGATCGATTCATGTCGCTCGAATCAACACCGGTTTTTTAATATTTTTTCCATCGAGTCGGTGTCGATCGATTCACGTTTTAATATTTCGGTCTATTCTAGATGATCGAATCCATACCCTACTGAAAAAAGCGCGTCCGATCATTTTCGCGTCTCGGAACATACTGGTCTGATCAACGAAAATTCGAGAAATTGACAGCGAATGCAGCGGGAAAAATCCAAGAATTCTGCTCCTTAGGTGCTGTGCATCATTATTGAGCGTAATAATCGCATTCGAATATTCGAATAATCGCATTCAAAAGTGTCATTTTATCTCTCACGGTTCATAAAAAATCAAAAATCGAAGCAATATTTGAAAATATTTGAATATTTGCATCCGAACTATTCGCAATCGCAAGATTTGAATTCTCAAATATTCGCAATAATCGCATTCGAATTCGATATTCGTCCATCCCTACCTCGCCCTCGACTCAGTAGCAGCTTCCGCCAGCGTCCAGACGCCGCGCCGCGAAAAGACGCTCTTAGGGTTCCATAGGCTTCGAAGGCTCGGTGTAGAAAATAAACTTTTAACTACTTCCTCCCTTCACAAACTGATTTATTTTTTTCGACTTTTAGATTTTGGAGGGAGGAAATATACCTAAGGGTAGTGGAACTCAAAAACATTCTCAACTCGATATTTTCGAACATGTGGGTCAGTTCCTTTCTGAAAAACTCGGTCCATTTAGTGATGTCCACCAGGGACACAGAAAGTTCATGGTCTTCCCTGGAATAAATGACCGGCAGAAAAGTGTTGAAATACCAACTGAACAGATAAAGAAGTGATCTCAACTGAAATTGGTGTAAGATTAGACTGATGTCAGTTAAGATCAGTAGAAAATGGAACTGGTTGACTGTTTTGACCCTATTCTAGCTATACTTACTGGTAATTCATATCAGGGTTGAAGCGAAGTCCATTTCCCTGATAAGCCCAACATCGCCAGTTTTCAAGTGTAATCCATCCAAGACTCATCGTCGAAACGGACTTTGCTCCCTTAGCTCCATGATGCCTTACTGTGAAGACCACTTTTTTAAAGAAATTTTCAAGGAAAGTTGGGACCTTCATTTCGTGGTTCTATGGACAAGTGGACATGATTTTGCGGCATGGTCTTCCTACTATCTACAAAGCTTTTCTATCATGTCCTTTCAACTGTCCAATTCTTAACACCTGTTATTGCAGTCCTCTCATGCACATACGAAACTAACCCTGACCCACCAGCCATGTGGTCAAAAAGTGCCTGCATCCCTGAATGCGACTGTAATCAAGGGTATTAAACCTTTATTTCATGAATAGATAAGAACTTACATTGAGACACTCCTTTCAATGATTTGATTTAAAAGGGGTAGGTAGAGTCCACGCCAGATAAGTTTCCCACCAGGGATGCAGAAAATGCCCAATCTAGCGCTCGCCTGGGAAAGCCCCCAAAAATGTGGAAGGAGGGAAAATTTTGAAGGGTCTTCAGTCAGTAAACGACGAAAAACAGAAAAAAAGATCATCTTTTTATAGATTGGTGGGAAATTTTTTGGAAAACCAATGAGAAGAAAATATGGAAAGCCCGCAGGCGGGCGTGTGAAAATGTGGAAGCATGGAAGATTCTGCACGCGCACTTTCAGACTGCCACAGAAGATCTGCCATCTTCCTTCTTGATTTACTTTACATGTAAAAGTGACGTCAGACGAACTTCAGATTGCAGTCTAGAAGTGCGTAAACATATTGGTCGTGGACTCTATCAGAAAATAATAAAACTTCTGGCAGACAAGAAAAGGCTAAGGAGAAGAGAGCTATGTGATTGATCAGTAATTTGAGCACCTGAATAAGTCGCTTATCCCCTTTATCAGGCTGAATGATTGACTAGCAGAAGGTACCTCTTTGCTGCCCGATAGCCAGTCAATTAAACAGCCCAATAAAAGGCAATAGACGACTTCCTTAGGTGTTCAAACAACAAGACTGATCAATCATATAGCTCAAGACCAATCCACACAGGTCAGTCATTCCCAAGGACGAGTTTTGGTACTCTACTGCGCAGTGACAAAGTATTGAGTGCCTGCAATGTATTTCTTATGGGAGCACTCAATGCTACGTCACAATGGGTGCTGCGAGTTATGGCCGGGCAGGGGAGTGGATTTCAAAAAAGCTGCGCAATGACTGACCTGTGTGGATTGGTCTTGATATAGCTCTATTTCACCCTAATTTTGTCTTGTCTTCCAGTCAAATACAAAATTTCCACGAGGCTGCTGTCTACCAGTAGGAGAGAGACAGGGCTTGAGTCCAACATTGAAGTTTCCCTTTCCTCCGGATTTTGCATTTACAAGATAAATGATAGGACCAAAACTTTCGGAAGTTGTCAAAAAAGGAATCTATTCACCGATACAAAATAAACATAGTTTGGATGTGTGTAGAACTGAACATGCCATGAAGGTGTACTTATCATGATGATGACAGATAGATTGGTCGACAGTAGCAGCATGCACGAGGAGATAGGAGCATTGCACTGTAAAATTGAGCAATTGATGCAACGATCGCGATCTATGGATGCCAGACTTGATGGCAGGTAGAGAGGTTGAAAAACGTACAAATCAGTGTTCGTGCTTGAAAGTAAGTCATACAAGGAAGACAAGCACATGGCTAAGTTGTGAAAAGTTGGCTAATTAATAAACTCGGGGTACCTAAGCATGAAGAAGAGGTGAAATTCCTTTAACGTGCACATAAAATAGTTTAGATAAAATTATCTACTTACCACTACAGAAGGGATAAAGTGCTGCTTGATCTAACAGTTTCGTTTCCGTTAACACAAGAATGAACAAAAGTACCTGCAAATTTTTGCGCTAAGTCAAGTCAGCTATTTGTTTATTTACTATTGTTTATTCGTACCGTTCGCACGTTCGCACATGTTCGCAACTTCGCACATAACTTCGAACTTCGAGTTTACATACTTATAGCACTTTGCAGTTTTTTTTGCATTGGAAACATTGCAACAGGTTTCGTCTTGTCCTTGCAGGCAACCACAAATCATAACACTAGTAATCTCTTCGTCATTGAATCAACTTAATTCAAGTAAATTTTTTCCCCTATTAATGCTATCAAACTGCATCATTAATTCAAAAAATGTATTTTAAATTACAGAAATCCATAATTTGAAATTTCAAGAAATCTTTAAGATGGATGACATGATTGACATGGTTCAAAAATTGAGCAATGTAATAACCTTCCATAGCGTTGAGAGGAATTTCGTTTTTGAGGATTGCATCAGTGTTAGACCTGTCTTGTTTACATAAAAAATACGATAAGAAGAAATTATTCAGGAAGACTGAAAATATGTCACGAAGTGTAAAAATTAATTTGTCATAGTGGAAATTAGTGATTTTATCAGTGTCCTGTAGAGTTCTATTTCTTATCATCATTTATGGTTTGAATCCCAGCTGCCGAATACTGGATTGATTGCTTCATCTCAATTTCCTTTGCTCTTGTGAAATTCGATGTACATGAGTCCATAGCCATTAACCTTATTTACTGTAAAGACAGTATTCAATGTCTCTTCCAAATAAACTCCTCAGAATAGTTGATGTTCTTCTGCGAGTGCCACCATTGTTCATCATAGATGAATTACTGAGAATTGGTCTCGGTCTGCCCCAATATGACTCCGCCAAAGAAACCCTCGCTGAGAGCGAAGGGACGCAAGCCGCTTATGGATTTCAAGTCGATAGCCTTACGAACTTTGATTCACAGTTCTACAAATTTTTGTTAATAACTTTTATGAAATTTATTATATCATTGTTAGGTAAGTTTTCCTGGATTCATGTTTTTTCCTTCTCCGTTTTTCAATCTACATGCCTCAATTCCTGTTCAAGCATCAACCTGCAATTTTAGAAGTAGTTCGAATAACTTATTCAGAGCATGAGTTATTACCCTTCATCCCCATCTAGATCCAAAATTTAATTTTAGCCTCCCCCACAAAAACCACTGTCCTCACTAAGTGGATGATTACTTTTCCCTTGAGCTTGTGAAAGGTGTTTCATTTAACCTCAACTTCTGGTTACTTATTGTTGACCTTCGAAAGAAATTCATAGCCCTATCTCAATCTGTCACACTTATGAGTGATGTAGCATATTCATTACGTCTAATTACTTATTTTGAATGAATTCTTAGAGAGTTTGATCTTTTCAGTATGTCTCAGACCCAACATTCAGATCGCTCAATGGTGATTGTAATGATCAAAGATTCAAATTCTTATTTCAAGTTATTCCTATCTTGTTCACACTTTTCTCAGTATTTATAACTCTATTTTGTACTGAATCGTAGTAGATTTAACTTATTTTAAAATCAAAATGCTCTCTTTCCGTAGAGACAAGTTCTTGCCGAAAAGCGCAGATGGAGTGATGAAACTCCACGAATTAGGTTCAATTATTTTCTCAAAATTCCAAGCTAAACTGAAGCTTTAAGTAGTAGTTAAAGATAGCAGTCCAAAAATTGCAGCTATCAGAATCGTAGGTTTTAAATTATTTGTGAATATTTTATGAAAGAGTGAAAAAAATTCACAGAAAATTTCAGAAATGACCGTGCATCAGTTTTCGTTCAAAAAAGTTAAACATGAGCGAAGGTTTTCAAAATTGCAATTGAATGCATGCATTTTCCAACTTTAGCCAATAACATTTTTATTTCAAATTTCAGACCAGTGACAAATACGTAACTATTATAAAATAATTGGTTTGATTTTCAGGTTGTGTAGCTTCTTTATGCGTCTTTCTATTATGGACGAAGCAGCTAGTAGTTGTGTACACGTTTCTCATCTCTGTGGGAGTAGTGTTTGTGTCTTACTGGTTGAACGTCAGTACAATGAAAGCAGTCATAGCAGCATCAGCAATATCCAGATCAAGCGTCCTGGAGGATATTTTAGCTTTGAAAATAAATGATGTCTTCGACGACCACAACGGAACTGCTTGGATAATTTTGCAGAATTATCTCATGCAGAGTCTCCTGGCATGTACCTTTTCATTTTTTCATCTTGGACCTCGCTACTCCCTCTCTCAGAAACTGCTGCCCTTCAGTTTTTTAGCTCCGTCTACTCTAGCTCTTCTTCCGATGTCATCCAAAGTTCTTCATCACGCTCCTGTCTTTGCAGCCTTACTACCTCTTGCTCTAGTCAAGTTTGTCATCTGGGGCAGTGCTTTGACTGTTGTCCAAACAATAGTCAATGGCTATCAAAGAGCCAGAAACTATGTGAGGTTAGTAATGTTAATTTAGATCTAAATGGACCTTCAGATTGTACAAGAATAATTATAGTACAGCAAAACATGTTTTTTTTTGTTTTTTTTTATCAAAATTTCATGCAAATCGTAATAAATACCCTGAGTCACCACTTAAGAGAGAGAGATCAGCATTCATTTTTGACACTAGAGTTAGATCTTTCAATCCTGCTGCTTGTGGAAAATACTAAAATCACTGTACCCAAAATATATTAATGATTCTGCTACCATTAAGATATTTCTTGCAGCTATTTTTAACTTTAGGCTTATTATTGAAACTGATGTAGACAAAGCAATAGATGAAGGGGACAAGCAGAAAGTAGAGGGATCCTATTGGTGGAAGCTGGTCATTGCAATGGACAAAGGAGGTAAGCAATACACCAGTAGCAACTGACGAGAGACCCCATTGTTAGTCCATCACTTCTCCTTTGCTTGCAACAACTACTTACCTGTTTCAACCAATAGGATCTCTTTGTTTATCATCAATCGCAATAATCCGCCTGCAGACCTTGAAAATTACCTTTCATCACCTCTCTCCCCCTAGACATACATTTTTATGTTCTTTACTCGACCCTCCAATTAAAAAGAATATTCCCTCTGTATTGATAAAGAAATGATTATTGGAAATAACTTAGTATTTTATTCCTTGGATTTGTATTTTTTTTTAAAATGAAAAATGTTCTTATTTTCTTCTTTCACAGTAATTTTGGTGTCTCTACTCTAATGGAGAACGAATGGGTTCGATTAAATGTTCCATGTGTCTTGAGAACGTTTTGGATTTTGCGGGTCCTTGAACATGCAATCTCTCTTCTAGCCGATTGGTGGCGGAATTCGCAACATAATGTATCTGATCCATCTTTAGCAGCCTCTCCACTCTCTTTTGAATCATTTCCAAGCCCACTCCTAATTATCAAATCAATCCTGATATCAGGCTGTGAGACACTGACAGCTCTTTTAGGAATGACAAGTGTTGTCTCGTACATCTGCCACTACATAGGCCGAGTTTTCCAGTGGGTAAGTACATCTATTTTTTTGGTAACTTCTGGACTCTGAGGAGCAACTTCTTTGTTTGTTTCCAATTCATAAAAATCTAGCCTTCAGTAAAAGGAATGGGGGTGAAAGTTCAATCAAACATCACCAAGCAAAAACAATTTGTTACCGAAAAGACTTTTTAAATGATGTTTAAAGATTTCATATCTATGTATAAGGAATCTATTGCAAACAGCCTTTCTTTTTCCATAAATACGCCCGATTGCAAGGAACCAATATATGTATTTCTAACTTATTCATGAAAGGATCTAACTGCGTAGGGAAATTAATGGCACTAATGTGAAACTAGTCGTTACATTTTTTCTATAAAATTGAGTCCCAGGGAGGAATTAAACTTCAAATAGCTTTTTCCAAGTTCAAACTTGGTGTGTTTTTGTCTAGTTGATGTCAGTGTTTGACATCAGTTTGTAGACGCCTGCTGCATGTTCCTGCTGTGATGCCACCAACACCTTGGTATCAGGACCATCAAGACCTTGGTATCAAGTCTATCATGCAACGCAATGTGTTTGAGAAAGATTTAGGACCAAAAGTTTTAGAAGATCGTCTACCTTCGCTCTATGACGAAGCTTCTATATAATTTAATAATCATTATTGACCTTTTTTTTTAGATAGAAATTGGATGCATTCAAATCAAAAGGAACTATATCCATTATGTCATGTGTCCTTCAATGCATGCATTCTTTTGGTTATTAAGTCCCCAGTCAGAATGGACGTAGTTCCTTTTGATAAAAATACATCAAATTAGACCACTAAGTTGGGTATGCATCAATTCACCACAAGACGTATTTCCTTCAAAATGTCACTGAGCGTATGGTCAACACATCCTAAGCTTCCAAAATCAATCCTTAATTTCAAAATTAGCATTTGCAGTCAAAATTAAAATTAGTCAATTTAAATTTTATAACCACAAGAAAGGCAATATCAAAGTTGTTAAAATCTAAAAAAAATCAGCACTCTTTGACAAACTAACAGTGTTTAGCTTAAAGAATGTCACCTGTATTATAACACTTGAAACTTGTACAAGTGAGATAGGGTTAGCACTCAAAGAAAATGATTCAGTTGTGAAAGTTACTAAAATTTAAATCTGAGCTGATTGTTGCAATTGACAGACAAAGGAGACAAACAGAAATAAGAGGGATCCTGTTGGTGGAAACGGATGGTTGTAATAACAAAAGAGGTAAGTAATGATGACAACAAACTTTTTCAGCCAACAGGATGGCTCAATTTTCCATTTATCCTCTTTGTCTGTGGCTTTGTCTATCAATTCCAACAATCAGCTGGCTGAAGTGACAAAAGCAATCCCATTGTGTCAGCCATTTGTATTGACGAGGTTTTAGACCCCACTGCATATTGGCGGTGAGAAGTTTAACTGCAATGTATTTCTTATAAGAGAATTCATACTAGCTGCAGGTGAGTGATGTTTGGGTGGGATAGTGGTTCTCAAAAAAATGCAGAATGACTAACCTGTGTGGAATTTGTCAGGGATCTTCGGGTACCATCAGTTTTTTAACAGTGGTAAGTTTAAAAGGACGAACAAAAATGCTTCTTTATCAAGTATGAGTTGAATTTGGAATTAATCATGTGTCCATCAAGTCATCCTTAATATTTAGGTGAGAAAGCGTGTATTAGAGTGCTGATTTTCTTATTCTCTCTATACAAATCTATTGATGAAGAGCACAGATGAGAGATCTATTGTCAGAAGTGACTAATTAACATTTCTGCCATAATTTTTTTCATCTCATTCTTCATTATTATTTCAGGTGCTGCTTCTCAATGAGGAAGATGATGATAAGAGCATAGGCACTGTATCAGCTATTCTGTTCTACATTTTAGCGCTACAAACTAGTCTGACAAGTTTAGAGCCTGAAAAACGATTTGTGCGGCTCTGTCGAAATTTTTGTCTTCTGTTCACGGCAGTACTCCACTTTGTCCACAATCTTGTAAATCCTATACTTATGTCGCTCAGCGCATCGCATAATCCCTATATTCACAGGTTTGTTTTCAAAATTTTCCTCTACAAAATGTCGCATTTTGAATGCATTGATCAAGTATTTCAATTGGGCATGAATTTTAGATGAGTCAACATTTTTGAACTTCCTTCTGAATACTTGATGTTCCTGATGAATGAATGCGCCTCTGTAGCAACATTTTGTAAGATTGAGATTTTGGTCCTTTTTAACAAAGGCTGTTTCCAGGCAAACATTGCAAAAAAAGTAACTTCAAAGGCTTCATTTCCAGCCTTGAAAAATTGATTTGAGCTATTTATGAGCCTCAATGTTTTATGTAATTTTTAAGCTGTAAACTCGTTTTTCTTGTTACCACAAAAGCACAGCAGGGGTGCAAAAATCAGTAACAATTCAGCCTCACTATTTCCTCACTCCACTGAAACATCAAAAGTACATGCCAAACGAAAAATCAGCATCGTCTTTTGGTTTTTCCCCCTCATTTTTTTGCTGATAACTAAAAAATTCCTCACAAGCTTTTGGATTTTCCCTTACCTTGCCTGCTCAAGCCTTCGCTCCGCTCTTGAGCTTTTGCCTATTTTGCTAGTCCACCGGAGGCTTCAATCCCTACCATCATAATGAAAATTTTGCAAGAGACCTCTTATCAAAATGAAATATCTTTAAGCCTAAGCAGCATTTTCTCGGAACAGTTTTTGAAGTACTATTTTCCTGTTTCTATTCTGAAGGAAAATTCATGATGCCGTGAGACAAATTGAATACAAGTTTTTTTTAAAAAAAGTGTAAGATCGTAGCTGAAAAAATTGCTTTTTGAACCCAGCTTTCTTTGCACACTTTTAATTTCTACCAAAAATTTCAAGTCCGTGTTCGAATCATGCAAGATGATAGTTTTCATGGAGAAAGGCGTTTTATCAAATTTTGCCCCCAGTCCAAACTTCAGCATAATAGCTAACAGAGGCAGTGAGATTGAGTGCAAATATGAAACGAAAGGCTCTTATAACAATCTTTTTTTTCAGAGGCAACCAAATCACCCTAAATCATGCTTAACTTTCTTGTTGCATACCGGAGACTAAAAAAATTGAGATTTCTTTACTAAATTGCATAATTTCCCTTGGCCTATCCTTTTGGCTAAATGTAGTTCTCTGGAAAGACCGCCTGCCGATACCAGCAAATCAAAGGGTATCCAAATATGCTCCTGTAATGAAAAGAATCAGAATTTTAAGTCTTGTAATCTTTATTTAGCAACATTTTAACTCTTTAAACACATTTATCTGAAAAAGCTTTTGACTCCTTTCTACTGTTTTTCCACCTCTTTTCAAATTTGTCAAGTGTTGTTTCATGTCAAGTCAGGCGCATAATCTATTAAGTTTTTCTTATTTTTACCTATTTCAGGCATGTTCGGGCTCTACTAGTCTGCTCTTTTCTCATCCTGTATCCAATTTCATTAGTGTGCGTCTTATGGTATTATCAGAATATGTCATCATGGCTTCTTGCTGTTTCCGCCTTCAACGCAGAAGTTGCTGTCAAAGTCATCATTTCTCTTCTCATCTACATGCTGTTCCTCATCGATGCTTACAGATCAACGTTTTGGGAAAAATTTGATGATTATGTTTACTATATCCGAGCATTCGGCAATACGGTAAGGCATATTTCAGCATGTATCTTGTACCTCGCTCTCTCCCCTGGTTAAGGAATTTTCGGTTGTACATAAATCTCTCCGTAAAATACCTGCCTAAGCTCATTAGTCTACAATTATTTCCTGAGGAATTTCGATTTTCAATTTTTTCGATTGCTTTAAAAATCTCCATATTTTGTAAAGAAGCACAGTGATTAGCAGCCAAGATTGCAGGGAGTCCCGGAAAATGCAGCGCATTTATTTCAACGGAAAAATTATATAAGACTCAGTGAGCCTGGGCGAATACCGCAAAAGAAAAATACATTTCGGCACTTCACAGCACCTACTGTCAAACACTTACATCTTTGACTGATATAATGCTTGCAATGCTGAGTGGAAAGGACACACACTGGAAGTACATAGATATCTGCATAGAAAGCACTAAACTTCCGCAAGACTAGTTCCCTTGTTAAGACCTCACATTGAAATTTTCTGGGAATAAAAATGAATGAATGAAGAAAATTTCAAGAAAGGCTAATGGCTGGTCTTTTTTAAAATAATGAAGTATGAATGGAGATTTGCAACACTGAAATCGAAAGTATGCATTTTTCAACATTAGCCATCCATATTTGTACACTTAGCCAGTCAGTTAGTTGATTCAGTCAGATTTTGAAACTCTGTTTTTCACGGCCTGTCTCATTCTCTCAATTTATCATTAGTTTGATTTATGATTGTATCTTTCTCACAGATCGACTTCTGTTTTGGCATTTTCCTGTTCTTGAATGGGGCCTGGATTTTATTTTTTGAATCCGGCGGCGCCGTCAGAGCTTTGATGATGTGCATTCATGCGTATCTCAACATTTGGTCTGAAGCAAGAAGAGGTACGTTTCCATTTGTCTATCTTAGGATACAAGTATTGAATAAGTGCTAAATGAAAATTATTTGCCTTTAACATTATATTCCTTTCAAATGCTTCAAGTATTTATAAAGTGAATTTTCCATTGTTAAGAATGTATTTCACTTCTCTTTTGCCGACAATGGGTGAATTGATGCCAAGGATATCAATGTCAGTCACACTCTTTTTTTCTAGAATTCTGGTTTTAACTTTCCTTTTCTGCATGAGTAAGATTGAAGTTCAGAAAAGAGTAGGGGTCTCATTTTCCTTCACCATAAAAAAGTCACATTAATGGCAATGCCAACCATAGCAGCTGAAAACTTTAATTACGATGATCATCTCTATCATTTTCAAATTCTAAGTCCTGAATTGGTTTTTGTGGTCTTCACCTTCAATAGATCTGATTATTGTAAAAAAAAAACAAAACAAAAAACATGTTTGGTTGATTTTCATACCTCTATTGGACATTATTTAAATCAGAAGGAACTAGGTATATCTATTCTGACATGAGCTGCAAGATCCATAAGAGTACATGTATAACAGGGTCATGTCACAACGGATGGGTTTCCTTTTCTTTAAATGAGCCGCATTATCCCATAGTTCCTTTGTCAGTGGGTCACTTTGTCTCAGGTGCTCACCATGTCAGTTGTTTAGATCTCAGACAGTGTTAGTTACCACGGACAATGTGTGCGACCAAATTTTTTTTGTTTTGTTTTTTGGCATGGAACAAGAAACATATTAAAATAAGATGGTACTCTAAAGTATCGAATCTTACTTTTTTTTCATTGTGTACCTCTCTCTCCTCTCTCCTAATGTTCATTTGTTCAATTTATTTTTCCTCAAGGATGGAGTGTTTTTATGAAGAGGAGAACAGCTGTAAATAAAATAGAGTGCCTTCCAGAGGCAACTCCAGAACAGCTCATTGAACTGGACGATGTATGTGCCATTTGTTATCAAGAAATGCAGTCCGCCAAAATAACCAAGTGTCAGCATTTCTTCCATGGTGTCTGTCTAAGGAAGTGGCTCTATGTTCAAGTAAGTTCCACCAATATGTATAGTAACATGAAAGTTCCTGCTTTTCAAAAACTCAATGATTAAAAATGACATCGGAACATATTTCATGAGCATATTTGACACTTGGATGTTTTGCTAGATGCAGAAGGTCATCTCTCAGAGTGACTCCCTCGCTGAACCTCATCTTATCTCATCTTTTAAGATGAAGATCACCCAATAAGCATCACTAAAGCTATTTTTAGTTTTTTATTTCCTACCAAAGTTTGCGCTTTGCAATCAGCGACTAAAAATGTCCAAATCCCTCCACCTGCCAAAATCCACGGCAATTGTAACCGTAGAAAACTGGCTCAGTCTTGTCTTTTACGTTAATCTTAAAAAAATGAAGAAAAACTTGTTGGCGATTATCCAATGTTTCCTCGGATTAAGTGAATTTTCCTTTCAAATATCAGCAATTTTTTCCATGGAGAGCTTTTTATATTTGTATCTAGTCATCAGAGTCCAGTCGTTCACTTTAATGAGGCAAAGAATTGACACAAATTCTGTTTCATGAATTGCAGGATAGATGTCCTTTGTGTCATGATGTTTTGTACAAAGTTGAGGCAGAATCAAAGGTGAGAACAGTGGATCGTCCAAACAGGCCGATCCAGGCTGCACCGATCAACAATCAGGCGTTAGAAAACCAAGACAGGACAGACAATCACGGTCCTGCCCAAGCAGTATTACCCGGACTGTTGCAAGTCTACACAAATGAACCCAGTCAAGCTGATGGCAGCTAAATTTAAGGTAACATTCTTCTGATAATCGGGCGTTATTAATAAGAACCTACCCTTTGTTCATCTGTCACAAAGGGAGAACCAAAGCTGTAATTTGAACTACAGGCTGCTTGACACCCCTTGTTTCTAGGCAATTAGGCTAGTTGAGAGAACGTTTCGATCAAATCGCAGATTGGCTAATGCCAAAATTTTTAGCCTCCATGGGGAATGCTCAAGGAGTTTTTTTCTGCGGTGAAATAGAACTCATGAGTGAAGAAAAATGTCTACATCGGAAACTTCAAAAATGGATTCTTAGGAATTTTCCGAAGAGTATGATGAGTACATATTAAGTTTTTTCCATCACATGTGAGAAATATTCTTTTGAAAACCCCTAAATAGTAGACGGTGACAGGGAAGTGACTCAGAATGCACGTCACCATTTCCCACTATTTAGAGGGTTTGCAAAACTGAGAATTTCTTACATTTAATGAAGAAAATATGGGATTCATAACCCATCATTATATTTATAAAATTTCTCAAAACCAGCTTTTGAAGTTCCTAACTTACAAATTTTCCTTTCCTTTTGAGTAAGTTCACAACAAAAAAAATCCCATGTTATTTTTCATAAGGGACAACCATTTTGGTACTTGCTATTTTGAAAATTGGCAGGAGCTGTCAGCCACTCAGAGACAACTCGTCTCATCACTTTAAAAGTAAGGAGGAAGGGTCTGTTGTTCAAATCATGGCTCTTGGTTTTTCCTTGCTCCGTAAAAGTCTTCACTTGTCGCTTTTTGATTCTCATCAACTTTCATGTGTTCTCAAGTTCAAAGTTTTTTGTGTTCTAAATCCCACAAAAAAACCCTTGGGAGGGTGCCATTCGGACGGCAATAAACTAGAGAACTTGACCGTCCCGATTTTACAGATAAACACATATGATACGAGAAATCGGGACGGCAATTAATTCTAGGGTTTGTCTCATGCTGGTAGTCCACCCGTTTTTCTAAAAAATAAATAAATAAAAATAGGAAAAAATAAAAAACAGGAAAAAATAAAAAAATTGCCGTCATGCCGCAGAACAGGAGCATAAGTAAATATTTTGACTTCTTCTATATCAAAAGCAGATCCCAATAGGTACTCATCATAGAAATGGTACCCAATGCTAAAGTGATTTATCAAACATTTCTGCGGCATGACGGCAATTTTTTTATTTTTTCCTGTTTTTTATTTTTTCCTATTTTTATTTATTTATTTTTTAGAAAAACGGGTGGACTACCAGCATGAGACAAACCCTAGAATTAATTGCCGTCCCGATTTCTCGTATCATATGTGTTTATCTGTAAAATCGGGACGGTCAAGTTCTCTAGTTTATTGCCGTCCGAATGGCACCCTCCCAAGGGTTTTTTTGTGGGATATCACCTCATTTTTCATCAGATATTTTTTCTTTTTGTCAAAAATTCTTTTACTTACTTTAAATTTTAATTAATTTTATTTAATGGTTGATTGATTCATTCATTGATTATATTAATACATTCATTTTACTTATTGTTATTTTTAATTTTTTAATCCATTTATTACTGCGAACATTATGGATAGAAAATAACTGAAAGCATTTTTCGAAGATAATATTCGTCTCAATTTTGGGCCTTTTTGTCAACGGTAAATTATTCACGGTTGTCTGAAGCGCCTTCAGTTAGACCCGTTTACTATCAATACTTTAATGCACGGAAAAAAGTATGTAATTCAATTGAAGGCGTTTTGTTCTGAAATACCAACTACACATCCAGCTAGAGTATCCTAACCTAACCTAACTCGAGGTTTTATTGTAGGTAAGAGAAATAATGTGGCAACAACAGTTCAATTTGCATAAATCAGAATATGTATGTTGACAAAAAGGCTAAGACTGTCAAAGTATCAACAGGACTTTGTTTCTCTGCCACCCATGAACTTCTTAATACAGGCAAGCTCCTGTCCAAGAGATCCTCAATAGGGTTTTTTGTCAAAAAACAACTTGAGTTTCTTCAATTATTAGTATCTGAAACAGAACAAATAAGAAAATCTGTCTAAGCTTAGAAAGTCAAAATTAAAGCAAATACAATGCATCAGACTTGACAATGAGACATTGCAATAATTACACACTAAGGAAATAGAATATCTGCCATGTAGTATTTTCTTAATGCAATGCAACAGCAGATTGACTGCAGACTAAATTAATCACAAACCCTTTTCAAAATTTCTTCATAAAATTCTATTATTTTTTCTTGTGGAAGAAAAAAATGCAGAACTGATAGATATGAGCCTTCAAATATGCAGTATGTGCAACTTGCACTGCAGTACTGTTGCTGTAGGGTTCCCAGTTCTTTGATCAAGACATGACTTCTGCCCCCTCGTCCTTAACGCAACTCTTTGTACACTTTGATGCAGTTGGACTAAGAGCCAGAATTTAGCACGAGACGTAGTTGTGAATTTGGCTTAAGGACTTCAATAACTTTTCAAGACAGTTCAGCACATACGTAACGTATACTTAGAGCTCGTTTCAGATTACTTTTCCTTTTTTGATGTATGAGCGAGATTGGGAATTCCTTATTTCGCGCATTCAACTAAAGAGGAAAAGTAATGTGTAACAGGCTCTACACGTCAGACCTGTGGTGTAGGGTTTGTTTCCATAAAAACTTACAGTAAAAGAGTCTTCACTTGTCCATGGAATTTTTAGATTGCTTTCAAAGTAAGTTGAGCAGAAGATGCACCATGTTGATTCTCAGATATTTTAATCTTCTGTCAGATTCAATTTAAAAACAAATACTTCGTATGACAGATTCTTCATTTCATTCTGAAAATAGTTAGTCTTATCATGTATTACCTTAATTCATGAGGTAGCTACAAAGAGGTTCATGAAGCAGTTGGAGAAAAGATACGCTGTAGGTACGATGCTACTGGCTTTGAGTGACACTGTCAAAGTATCAACAGGACTTTGTTTCTCTGCCACCCATGAACTTCTTAATACAGGCAAGCTCCTGTCCAAGAGATCCTCAATAGGTTTTTTTGTCAAAAAACAACTTGAGTATTCTTCAATTAGTATCTGAAACCGAACAAATAAGAAAATCTGTATAAGCTTAGAAAGTCAAATTTAAAGCAAATACAATGCATCAGACTTGACAATGAGACATTGCGATAATTAAATGCGATAATTAAATAGAATATCAGCCATGCAGAATTTTCTCAATGCAATGCAACAGCAGATTGGCACAGTAGACTAAATTAATCACAAACACTTTTCAAAATTTCTTCATAAAATTCTCTTATTTTTTCTTGTGGAAGAAAAAAATGCAGAACTGATAGGTATGAGCCTTCAAATATGATCTAATCATATACCCATTCAATCAGGGGCCAAATTTTGTGAGTACCTACTTTCGACACAAAGAAGCAACAACTGCTGATAAGCCCAATTGGCCCAAACCACACCAATGGCCAATTAGAGGCGTTTCAACTGTCGTCAGTGCAGGCAAGGCTTGTTCAAAGTATAAGGCCTCCATAGACGATCAAATTCCCGAACCAATTCCGATCAAAGTAGCATCAAAGTGTCGGGAGTCATCAGTCTGAAATTCATTAATTTGCTTCATTTTAAAATGAAAACTTGACAGAAATGTTTCCTGTGGCAGGAAATGATGAATGATGGCACTCCGGTCTGTTCTTACTTTGATCAAAAAAGTGCGGCCCGTCAAAATTTGATGGTAGATGGTGGCCACTAGTCATCCTTTGATCGGAATTGGTTCGGAATTTGATCGTCTATGCAGGGCTTATATTTAAGTATCAGTGGGAGGGTGGCAGAAGTCATGTCTAGATCAAAGATCTTAGAATCCTACAACAACAGTACTGCAGTGCAAGTTTCAGAATAAAATGACTTTGTATAGAAGAAAAGAACTATTGGATGTATTTGTGCTATTAGGTGTGTGCGCAAGATTTGCATGCAACACAGTTCCTTCTGGCTTTTCTGTTGGATTTTTGCTTCGTTTCATGCAATTCTACATACATGATGCAGAACATTTGAAACAAAACTGCATCTCATATCTCATTTTGAAAAACTAACCACCTGACTAAAACTTATCTTAGAAAAAACATGCATCGTGTATAACTGCAACTTACCTTGACTTGTCATAATCGGCACTTTCCGTGGATCATCATCCGAAATTTCTAAAGTAGCTTAGTTGGTGGATTGTCTGCACCCAAAGACAGAATATTACTTTAATTGATATTTAATTAAAATAATGCATAAGTAATCACGTTATCACTTGGAAGCTCGAAACAAGATCCGCGAGTTGAAAAAATGAGAAATGTGAGAATTACGAGGTTAGTAGAGTACGTAGAAATCCTCAAGACCAAGCCGCGGAACAAAATGGATTGTCTGCACCCAAAGACAGAATATTACTTTAATTGATATTGATATTTAATTAAAATAATGCGTAAGTAATCACATTATCACTTCGAAGTTCGAAACAAGATCCGAGAGATGAAATCCTCAAGACCAAGACCAAGCCGCGGAACAATAATAAGAAAGTGAATGGAGAAGCGGAACGATTGGAATCGAATCACCATCGATTGATCGATACATCGATGCCCCTTTTAAAATCTTGCAAAGCAAATAACTTTTTTCAGAGAAACTTTTGAAAGTTCTAATTGCAAAAAGGCACAATGGGAATCCATTACGCGTTGATTCATATATGGTGTTCTAGGGTTTTGATCACTCGTTAAGGTGGTAGAGAGTATAATCTTACGATTTCGGCCCAATAATTGCGATATTAAGTTGATTTTCGTGTATATAAGCTTACGCGCGCTACGTTACATTACAGTATATAGTCAGCCTTCAATTTCAACCGATACATCTAATCATACACTTAGGTTTCTTTTGTTGCTTTAGTCTTGTTTTAAGGTTTCTTTATTGCCGTCTAGCGCTCTACCGTGCGCTTATAATTTTCCCTCTTTTTTTCCAGGATGCACAATCCTAATATGTAGCCACTATGAATCAATGAAGTCATGATAAACATCTGTTGAGTCTAATATCATCGGTTTTTGCTTCATTTTAACGCTCAGTGAAACATTCCCTTCATTAAATTTGATAGTATGGTGAGTTATTCCTCCTTTTAACTTGCCTTTTTATCTAACAGCCGTCTGGAGAATGACGAAGCAGAATTGCTAATATGTTTAAAGAAATTTTCTTCTTTTGGCAGAAGGCTACTTTTGGAAGCTTAACAAATTAACACGGTCTCTGTCAACAAGTCTTAATGTGAATATACCTATCGAGCGAGAATAAAACGCATGAAAGTGGCGAAATTCAAATGCTTCAAACTATTGTTTCCAATAGCGTTATCACTTTTCATGAGTTACATGTGTAACTTGTACTCTACAAGTAGTTAAGCAGAGGACCCACCTCCAGCACACATTAATGCGTTGAAAATGCATGGTTCATAACACTGGTCACTTTGACCGTTTTGGCCTGTCACCACCAACGAGGAAAAAGTCACTATGACTGGCTTGGCAATGAATGTATTAAGCCCTTTGCTGAAGTGATATTCAGTCAAACGCTTTCATCTTGAAAATAATGTGCTTTCCTCCAGTTTTTAGCCATCAATTTTTTTTTATTTATCTTTTTTCCCAATCAGTCTGTGTACCTAAATCTAATTATGAAGTGATTATATGTAGTAGCACTATCAATTTGAGACATGCTCGCGGTGATTGAATGATCTTTCGTTTTAAATGATAGTTTTGTTTATTCTCTATAAGAAAATTAAATATTTGGCAATGGATATGTGTATCATTCATGTAATACATTTTTTACTTAAGTGACAGTCAGGAAAAAATTCCGCCTTTGTTAAGGTAAAACTTGGTTTTTGAATCACAGGGGTTCTTTTTAATTCAAATTAAATGACCAAAGAAATAAAATTAATTACTGGCTCATTAGTCAATCAATTGACAGATTAATCCCTCAATTTCTTCTTGTGAGGTGCCACTCAAAACAGGGCAGGGAGAAAGAAATTTTTTGCCAAAAATACATAACAGGAGCTCATGTATCTTTGAAATCAATATGCTTGAACTTTAGAAAATTCGCAATTTTGAGGGATTTAAAGTGCATTAAAAATTGCATTTTGTGCTACAAATGAAAGTAGAAAAAGATACAGATCATTAATAAATTTTAAGAAATGTATGACAGAGTGAGAATTATTTTCTTTTTACTAGCTATCTGCGTTTTTAGTTTTGGTTAGGACTCTTTGTGTCTGTTTTTCTCCCTCTTTCTCTCTCTCTCTCCCTCCTTCTCTCTTTAATGTGCATAATCAGTTCAGAATCAGCGAGAGAAATGTAGTGGAAAAATGTTCTTCTCATCAGAGTCATTATGTTTTTCGATGAAATATTTCTGTAACTATTAAAATTCGGAAGGGAGGGGGGGACGTTGCAAATTTAGACCGTTCAGATTATGGAAAAAGTTGTATGAAAAAAGGCAGAGGGATGTTAGTAGTTAAAACTTAAATGGCCTGTAGATACGTCTCCCACCATTGTTTCTTATGATCAACGGTAAATCTTGTAATGGCAAACTACAGCGTATGATTCAATGTTTTGTAAATTTTAAATGTTCACTATGCCCTTCTGACTCGAGCTTTATTTATTTACTTTTTTTTAATGTAGGTTCCCCTTGCACATGACATTTCTCTTGTTGCTTGTCAAATGTACTTTATCATCATTTGTGTGAGTAAATTTTCATTGTATACTGGAGTAAATTTTATCAGGTTTCACTCCATGTAAAATTCTTAATTAGTATGTAGTTCCGTTACTTAAGAATTAAAGATAAAGCAGTTCAAGAACTGGAAGATCGTCTGTTCTACTTTTTACAGTAATCTTTATCAAATTTGTCTCTACGTGTCTCTCAAATTGCAAACTTTACAAAGTGTTTAAAGAAGTATCAATTAAATTCATAAACCCAAAATTTCAAGAATAAAATATAAAATGATTGTTCACTGGGAGCTAAATCGTGAGAATACTTTCCAAGCGTTGCTCCTGTTGAGTATGCTAGTTTTTTATACTGAAGAGTGCTGAACTATTACAGTATTTTTAGTAATGACCTCTACACTTAATGTTTTGGGATGAATTTTTACTAGTCCAATACAGGTGTTCAAAGTAAGAATCATTTCAATATCTACATTGTCTCGCCACCAAAATATCGATGGGTAAAATCGGAAAAAAAACCTTTATCTGATCCTGATATCGCAAATCATTGTCCTTGCTACATTCTTATTTTTGTTTTTCGTCAGAAGCAATCAACATTTTTTCTTGAAATTTTTTGTGCATTTTCTCTGCTCATTAAAAATATATACAACAAATTTTAAGATGAGATTGTTGTAGGTTTTCTCTAAAAAAATAGGACACAATCAAAAATTTAAGAACATTGCAATGGAAATATGCATTTTTCGACTTGAGCCATCGATATTTACTTGCGAGGTTAACGGAAGTGAAAGAGGGTTGAATTTCATTGAAAGCCTTTTTGTGATAGTGGCAAGATACAAATGAGGCAAGTACAGGGAGCATTTTGAATCTGTGTACTTACATTTTTCCAAATGAACCTGATACATTATCTCTTCTATTTATGCTGCATTATCTTTTTAAATGTTTTGCGCAAAGATTATCATCGATTATCATTTTGGTGAGCGAAACAAGACTTCTTAGTATCATTGTTATTTTGCTGAGAGTTTTACAGCTCTTGCTTCAAAGTATTAAATGGTAATTTCTTATAGGTTGTGAAAAAGAAAGAATTAGATTGAATATCTTTGGGGTCCAGGAAAGTTTTATTGATTACAAAAATATGAGATTGTGTGTACTTTTCTTTTGAGAAGTCTTTGATTAATTCAATATGGCATATATATGGATCTAAATTTGACAAATTTAAATCAAGAGGGACTGAATTCTTTCTAACATGAGCCCTGTTCACATTTTTGTGGATCTTAGGGTACATGTCAGAATGGATGTAGTTCCTTTTGATTTAAATACGTTCAATTGCAATGTTTCAAAATGTCTGAGTATACTTAAGAGAACTTCAAGTCAACATTATAACTTGCAATTTTCACAGAATAACCCTAGCCTTAGAATGGTGCGACTAATTAAGAGAATATTCTACACCAAAATGTTGATTTGTTTTCCTCCCAAGAATTAACGAATGCATGGAAATTTTGAAATGTTACAACTAAGACTTGCCGTTTTAGAGGTTAGCCATTTTTATCACAAGTATCTAATTAATTACCTCATCCTAAATCAGTATCCGTTTTTATCTTTGAGCTAAATTTAGTCAGACTTTGTAGATTTTTGGTTCTTTTAAATGGTGACAAAGCACGTCTTTTAAGACCCTTTGTTTACGTGAAATGAAAATACATGTGTCATAATTATTATGGAATCACTTGAAGGTGTATTTTGTTTGAAGTAACAGTGAAACAGGTCTCGGAAAAATTGTTTTCTGTGTAACTTTTCCATAATCAAGGAGCAACCAATGAGAAAACAGTCAAGGAAAGGAGGTTAGGAACCTTGTATACAACTGATGATTCTTATAGACTAAGGGGAAAAATGATGGACCCACTGTAGGGTCCCTTCTGGGTTACCGTTAGTTACTCCCTTCTGTATTACTTACCTCCTTTTTCCAGTGGAACCGCCAGCTTCCACCAATAGGATCGTTCCATTTTCCCTTTGTCTTCTTTGTCTGTAGCTTTGACTATCAATTTCCATAATCAGCCCACTGCTCGGTGCAATAGAGTAGCAACATGTCCAAAGATACTCTCATGTCCTGTCCGCTAATGATTGGTAACACTCAAATGAAATCGGAATGTTTTGCACTGATGTGAAACAGTCATATCTGTTTCTTCAAACAAAATACGACATTTTCGTTTGAAAAGTAATGAAGAATGACGTTTTTCTCTTATGATGGTGGTTTTGCTTGGAGGCGCTGATAAAATACGTCAAGTTCTCTAGGTGTTTATTTTGGGTTGTTGCTAGTTGAAAGTGTCTTCGCTAATTTTGACTGCTAGGCGCAAAGCATATAATCAGCCCCCCCAAAGTTCCGCCACCTATGTTTACTGAGATCAAGATCAGTGTTTTGTCAGCTGCTTCAAACTTAATGATAGCTGAATCCAGATCTGCCCAGAATTTTTTATGTTGTGTTAAATTGTGAATTTTTAGGCCCTGTACCTCTCAAGTTGTTTTGTATATTTTTTTTCCCTTTCATCAGATGAAGTTGATTTGTTTTAATGTAATAAAACTTTGTATTGCATTAAAAATATTTTTCCACTTATCGCTGTATTGCATTGAGAATTCATACCATACTCCTGAATAACCAACATATGGATGCAGGTAATCAATAATTGGACGTAATTTCTGACAAACGGGATCAGAGACTGGTGGGAAAGAAGGTGTATGCTCGTTAGTCGAGGACCGTAAGAATGTATGGGAATTATAAAGCGCCAGTGACGTCAGCGGCAATGAGCGAGGACGCCTGCAAATGTGCTCCTTAACTTATGAGTCCTGTCCACAACGCTTTTGTCACACACTCAGGGCTTATGAGTGCCGCATTCAGATGGCACACAGTTCCGTTTGACAGAATTTGAAATCCCACTTTTCGATTTCTCCAAAGGTGATCATGCCCACTTCAACAGCGTTTCTTATGCAGCTTTCTAGAACAGATCCCATCTTTCCTACTCGTCTATAGTTCCGTTTGGCAGAAATAGGTCCAATTATGTAAGTAGCTCAGAGCAAAAAGGTTTCACCTTACATTTCCGAAGGAATTAAGTCATTCTTGTTCTCAATATGCTTAGGACAAGCGCTATTTGTGTGAGCTAATTCTGTAGTGATATCGAACTCCATTCGCAAAATTCTAAAAATTCTGAACTGTATGGGAAGCAATGGAGCCATTAGGCAGTTTTCTTGTGATATCTCAAAACAGAAAAGATGTAAATACAACCTTTTTGCTTCATGCTAACAGCAGACTTTTGGTCTTTAAATATTACCGTTCACAAGGAAAAGGGCTGTGGTGCCTTAGGATTAATTGCTGGTGTTCAAAATGACTGATTTTTTCATACTTAAATGATATTAATTCTGGGTTCAGCAGGATAAAATTAAATCTCATGTCAATGGGTTAATAATTAACGTTTCTGCTACTCAAGGCATAAAGTTGAATTAAAATCCGAAAATTTAAAGTTCTAAACATGGTGCACTAAAACTTTTGATAGCTTTTTCTTGAAGTTTATTATAAACTTTGAACCGCCATTATGCGTTTTGCTATGACATTTTCTTGTACGTAGGTACGTTTCTTGCACCAAAATTTTTGTAAAACACTTCTGCCAGCGGTGGTACCAATAGGTGCTTTGATTTATAGTTTTGTGGCTGATAAGAACCTTACCCACGGAACAGATACATAAGGATGTGTATTAGAGTACCGCTCTTGCTGAATTTTATCAGTTTCCAACTTCAGTCAATTAAAGAGGAAAAAAAAATGAGAGAGGTTCTAAGAAAAAAATTACTTATTTATTTGCAATTTGTAAAAAATAATCTTGCTTAAATGGCAATACAAGCTCACCTAAGAAGGTAATTTAGAATTAAAAAAATATGATTACATGAAGGTAACTTCCTGCATAGTGAAATTATTAAATTAATGATAATATTACAAGGAAGAGGCAAATTTAAAGCTCAGTTAAAAAATGGCATGGTACATCAAGCAAAAACATTTTTTTAAGTGAAAAAATTAATTCCTACAGGGCCTATCTTTGGTCAAGGTTTTTGATCAGTCACTTTGATGTAAAAATAATTTTTTAAACAAAATATATAAATATCTATTAAATAAACGTACTTAGGTAGTTGAAAGTTGTCCAAGATTGGCATTTAGGAACTATGGAGAATTATACTAAAAATTAAATGCACCACTAAATAAAAATTGAGTCCCTGAAACTGATACTGAGCAGAAGTGGAAAAGAAAATTACTTAACAGAGTAAACTGCTGACTCTTTGCTCATGGATGTGCGTCTCCAACAACGGTGTCTGTTATGTACGAAACTCCAAGAACTCGTGCGTAGTGCATTTTCTCAACAGGCAAGTTAACAGTCCATGCTATGACTCGTAGTCCTTTCCTCTCCCATTGAGTTATTTCGTGTCTGTAAAATTAAACAATAAATGAGAAAGTAGTAATGAGTAGACTGTGTTTATGTTAAGTGGATCTGACGCAAGCTAGAAGTGGTATAATTTCACGGAAACTCAACAGATTATCATCAAATCAAGTCAAGAGGGTATCTTTACTGACTGCGTCAAATCAACGAAGTTTATCTACCGTTTATCTGTGTCTAATTTAATTTGCATCTAGTCTGATCCAATCAAATCCAGTTCTCACAGTGTCGCCGAAGCCTATGAGAGAGTCATTGGTATCAACTAAATTCTGTATGCTAAGATAGGGCTGCCATACTGTGCAGCAACTTCCGAGTTACAAGATGAGGATTCTCAGCCCCCAATTATAACAACTCTGTTGATGAATTCCATCCCTCCTCCTTCTGCCTGGTTAACTCATTCTATTTCATGTATTGTTTTCCGACAAGTTAAATTAAAATAAACTTTATTGGAATCTTTTAATGCACTAGTAACATCCAAGTTGTAGTCTGGAGAACTTAATGAGGTACACGGAGCACTGAAAAAATTTAAGTGCAAAAATTCCTGGAATGCTGACTCTCTTGAGATCTGTCATTTTCACCTGACAACCATAATTCTTAATTTCCTTCAAAGAATGTCCCTGTCTAAGAAAAAAATGCAATTAGCCCTATTTGTTTCATTATAGAAAAATATCCTCATCTCTGGAAAAGATCCAATTTTTTTAAAGTAGGGAGCAAGGAAAAGTAAGTCACGTTTGAAAATAATCTCACAGCCCAAGATTTGTCCCAGATTTACCGGCAGTCAGACCAAGGGGCAATTTTTGCACCCCTTAAGTAAAGAAATTGAAGGTTCCACTTACGGGCTGACATAATCTTTCGCAAGTAAAATGGCGACTGCACCAACAAGCTGAGGACAGATATTGTACAAAACCCAGTCGTATAAGTGGTCTGAAATCACTGCACCTAAGTGTCGGAAAAAATTTTTATGCCTCTGTTCACCGAAACTTGTTACGCGATAGTAAGGATCATATGAGCTGCACGAATAGAAGAAGGGTCTCCAAGTGATAGCACACACAATTTTAGGATCTTGACGCCGTATCTACATGAACAGACAGAAAACAAATGAGAAATCTATTTTGGAGGATTTTTATGATTCTTCAAATACATGGATTATGAATTTCATATACTTGTCAGGTACAGATTTTGACCAACAGAATACATTAATTTCTATGTCCTAAACATGAAAAGAGCCTCTCCTCCAGGGTACTCAGAATTTCTTCATTGCAAATCACAAACCTGTACACCCTGATGTAGCAAATAAGGAGACAAAATACGCGTCAGATCTGTAAATAAAATTTACTCATGGTGTGGTGTCCTAGTGAAATACTCTTAAATCTTTATCACAGGAGAAGATCCTTTATTTCTCAGAAAATTACCTGGGAGATTGGAGAGGAAAATCTAAGATGAATCATTTTTTGATCTGGGGAAAATTATAGAGAAATGTAAAATAATTACCAAGTAAGTCAGAAGAGGATTGAAGCCGCATACAATACTTCTGGTGTGTAACTCCGGAAATTTTCGGTATAACTGAATGACAGCATCAACTATCTGTAAGAATGAAATGAAGAATGGATAAAGTATACAAAACGTCAGAAAAAGACACCTAAGAGACATAGTAATGGCTACAGGCTACAGCTGTGCAAAAATTGCAGGTACATAAAATTAAATCTTTACCGATTTTTTTGGAAACTAAAGCGCTATCAAGCAAATCGGAGATTAGGTTTGAAGGAATCTTATGTGGCACATTATTAATATCCAAAAATTTTTTAATGATTTACATGACAATCAATCAACGTAAATTCTCAAAACAGAGGGTATTCTCTCTCTTTTAACATAACATGCATCAAATATTTGTTTTGATGTGGCTATGTTTTTTACTAGGTACATGATTTTTTTCATTTTGTTTCTTCTTGTTTTTATCCTCCAGAAGTACGAAATGAAATTATGGCACACTGTTTGACATTCTTGATAAATACTTTCAATATCACAGTCCTGTGGAGAACAGATTAATTGAAACATCTTTTGTTGAAAAAATTGGGGAAAAAATAAAAAGAAACATATTCTGGATTACTAATTTCTCAAACATTTTTGCAAAGTAGGGCGGGTTACGACCAACTGTATCAGTGCAAGAAATCATATAGTAATTTTTCAAGTCCGACAAATGAAAACATGTTAAATCATGAGAATTGGAGACAGCACAAAATCAAGTTGAAAGCAACAATGATGGATTCGAAATTTTGATGTCATTCTCAAAGTAACACTCCAGCATTCTCAATAATCAAAGTAAATTATGTATAGATCTTAATTTTGAACTTCAAAGAGCAAAGGGGGTCATCCCCATGATATATATGTCAGAGGTTTAACTCAAAAACTACTTACCTAATGTGGTAATTCAAAACTTCTACTTTTTTGTTTTTTTATTTTTTTAAAAGGAAGACTAGACAGATTTACTGCTTGAAATTCTCATAGAATATTTTTCAAAGAAGACTGAGAGATCACAGACTTTGTCAAGAAGTTAGTTATGTTGATTAGCTTCACGATTGAAAAGTAAAGTATGACGGAGACACACAAACTGATTGCAGGGGATGCACGGGTCGTAAGACAGTATGTTGGAGTTTTTTTGCCATCGTGCGTAAAAATTCAGCATAGTTAAGCATAAGTTTACTTGCCGCCAGCATCCGCTTGCCCAAGTCTCGGGCTGGTTTTCACGACCTCTCGAGCTTAGTAGAAGAAAATTCAGGAGGCTGCACGGCACTGAGGATTGGCTCAACAAGGACAAAACGCGTCTGCAGTTGCCTTCCTGAATGGATGTAACTAGTGTTGCACCGAACAGCATATCTCTTTGAGGAAAAAATATGCTCATATGAGCTTTTTCCATCTGTATTGAGATTTTCAGCTTTATGCTGAATTTTGACACACATTGGCAAAAAACTACAACATACTATGACGGAGAGTTGCAATGTCGAAGATCGGCTTGTGTTTTTCCTAAGTTTAGGCATCAATATGCTTTCAAACGAGGAGTGAGTAAGTAAGTAAGAAAAATAGAGTAGATGATAATATTAAACATCTTACCTCAGGTTTACACTCTTTCACATCAAGATATATGGTCATATTCAGACTTAAAGCTAATGACACAGCATCTTCAAATTTTGGTATTTTTTCATCTTTGAATTTTTCACTGAAATTAAAACAAGCAATGAACTTCAGAACAATGTGTTGATAAAGCAAGCCAATCATGCATTAAATTAAATGGTTTGAACTTAAATTAATTTTAATGAAAACAAACTTTGAATAAAATGCTCAGCCACACCGTTAGAAATTTTGACATGAAACGCGAGGACAGAGTGTACACAGTTAATAGTCATGAAAACATGAGAGTGACATCAATTTGGGATATTATCTACTACAGTCCTGAGCAAAATGCGCTCTACTCTGTAGTTGATTTCACTCAGAGCTTTTTATTACTATAAACGCTCGGGCTCATATTTCACTCCAAAGTTTTCTTTGATGCACTCATACAACTCAACAGTCAGAATGAAAATTCTACCTATCAGCAAAACATATTTGAGGGTTTGGCAACGCTAATCATAATTGATATGCTATCATAATTTGTGATTTTTAAAAGTCTGATAAACCAAGAGGAAGCAAAGGATGCCTATTTCAAGAATTGTTTTAAGTTCTTGTTATGGTTCTTTATTTTCTATAGATCTATAGATTTGAGCTTGGAGACATTTCTTTTCAGCTACCCTATCAACTTTATTAGTCAGGTTCGAGATACAAAATCCACAAGCAAGAATGTGGCTCTGACAAACGATTTAAAAAAGAAAACTCAGATTTGCATCCATTTGACTTGGTTGGTGTTTAATAATCCTCATAATTCATTGTTGCCAATTAGTCCTGAAAACCATCGAAACCCATTTAAATTCATGTAAAATATCCCCATTTTATTGCACATTCTGCCAACTTTATGACTGATTTATATTACTCAAGAGCTTAGGCCTTAACATTTTTTTTGTTCAGAACTGGATGTAGGTAAGTTTAAAAAGCATACTTAAGTTCTTCATGATTGATAAGGTTTGAAGATTTTTAAGCCTTGAGTATTCTTTCCTTGTATCTGCCAAACAATTATCTTCATGACTGAAATTCAAATACGGCATCAAACTCCCTTACAAAATAACTAATTTCCCAAAGCTCTATTACCAAGAGTTTCCTCTCTGATGTTTGGATTAAAATGAGCCTTTGCTAGACCTTATTCTACATCTATAGATGTCAGTTGATCATGAACTAACAACAATTGAAACATATTAAGATGGATGATTTTAGAAATTATTTCCTGTGTAGACATTTACCTCAATGGATGATTCACAGAGATATCCAAGTCTTTGATTTCATTCCAAGTTTGATCTAAAACGTTTTGAGGTTTTCCGGTGATGCGAGAGAGATCGCAGTCATGGTATGTGATGGGAACATTATCCTTGGTAAGCATTACATCAATCTCAATATTCTTGCATCCCTTTACTTGACACTGAAAAGGAGAATGGCTAGGAGTTATTACATTAAATAAAAATAATTAATAATATAGGATAAAATAAAATTAAAACCAGGATGAGTCAAGTGCTTTTACTTGAGGTGTTGAAAAAAAGGCGTTTCATTGATTTGGTTTTTTCATTTGGGACATGATGATATGTCCAAGAGAAAAGAGGGGATTCAAAGAAATAAAAAGGTACTTCTTGAAAGACTGATGGCAGATGTCGGCCTCCTGTGGTGTAGTGGTTGTAGCGCTGGCCCTATGACCAAGAGGTCCCGGGTTAGATTCCCGGCCAGGTGATCTGAGTTTGATGGTCTCAGGCGATGGTCACCTGGGGCTGGGGTAATAAGCGTGGGATTAGCCAATAGGCTATTTGAAATTGGTAAAAAAAAAAAAGTTAAGAAATTAAAGACAAACCGTTTTAATGGCGATGAGACTGTTCTCTGGGGCATCCAGTCCGTAAGCGCGATGACCAATGGACTGAACTGTAGAGCTACTCGGATTCCTGTGATCATCAAATTCACTGATCCAGGATTTGATATTGCCGGACGTAACTTCATTTTCTTTCTTGTTCCTGAGATCGTACAGAGGGTTAACTCCAAGGATTTCATCTACAACTGATGCATCGGGTTTCGGTAATGAGTAATATTTGACCAAACCATACAAAATTATTGGCCCCAAAAGAACAATGTAACTCAGAAAAGAGCTTGTGAATAAGAAAGTTAACACACTGTAAATCCAAAAACAAAATATGACGCACTGGGTTAAAAGCGACATTTCAGTATGAGCTTGGAGAGGCATAAGTTTGAAGTTATAAGAGCAATCACTTTCGCGTTTCAAGAAATGATGTTAAAATCTTCGAACTATAATAAAATTAAAACCGGAAAAGTTGATGAGAGTACTTCACCACAAACTATCGTCCGCTTAATCCTTTGTTATCTCGCTTTTCTTTAATCAATCAAAGTCCAAAGAGAAGGCGAAGTGGGCGAAGCCGAAGCGAAGCGATTAGCGATAAGATTGTTTGTTTGTTTACATCTCTCTTATCTTCGCTAAACGGAACGCGGAACCGAACCAACGAGAAAGAATTTTATTCTCTTGGTCCGTGCCGATACCAATACCAAATAAATTTTGGAATTTGGCAATGGTACCGCATGATTGTTTTGGTTTCGGCAGAAGTCTTATCGTCTTGTTCTACCAAATCTACCTTTGCTTTTGCTTTTCAATTATTACCATTAGCAACTAAAAATTGCTAACGTTAGTGTAGTACTCATAATTTGGGTCTCGAAGTTCGACTAAGGTAAATTTGTATTCACGATACTCAATTTTTACTCCCATTGCATCTTATTGAAATTTCTGCTTGAGCACAAGCAAGTACATTCTTGTATTTCGGCGGCGCGGCAGAATTGCCCACTGCAAGGCAAAGCAGCTTGAATTTCGTCCAGGTTTTATCGTAAATAAATAACAGTCAGTGCACACCCTACACGTACTCCTTACTGGTCAGTGTATGAAATCTGGTTCCATTGTGTCCTGTGGTCGGAAACATTTTTACCTTGGATGCTGCGTGCGAATTCTTCCATGCACTCGGTTAGGATTTTTCTCATCTAAAATCCAATTTTCCATTTTCTCTTGCACACCTATGTGTCAAATCATATCATAGATGCAATGCTAAGAGTTAGCTAAAGTTATACTTGAGATGATGACTTTATCCTCCAATTGTTTTCAGATTAAGAAACTAGCGTGGCCCTCCTCTCACACTAACCTTAGTCCATTCTGCAACTGTCAATCCTAGGTTAGGGTAACGAAGAATAAAAGCAGGTACTGGCATCGCCAAAAGTGGACTATCCCCTTGTTCAGATTGTTCAAAATCACGTGACCTTAAGTGGGCAATGCAGTGTCGGCCTCCTGTGGTGTAGTGGTTGTAGCGCTTGCTCTATGATCGGGAGGTCCCGGGTTCGGTTCCCGGCCAGGCGACCCGAGTTTGATGGTCTCAAACAATGGTTGCCTGGGACTGGTTCAGTAGGGACGGAGGGGGCATGGGACTTACAGCGTGGGATTAGCCCTTGAGAGCTATTTGAAGTAGTAAAAAAAAAAAAAGTTGCTGTTAGTCTCCTTTTTCTTGAATTTCTGTTAGTTTTTTTAAGTTTCATTGGGTTTATCAGCAGTTTGGTGCCTTAACTTTTGGATTTACAAAGTTTCAGGGAACTACTGCAACGGNGGGGGGGGGGGGGGGGGGGGGAATGAAATGACCCAACACTCGTAGTCAAATGGTAGAGACTGATCTACATCTCTAATAAAATACACACAATAGACACTAGATACATTGGCTAGGTTATACCTCTAATCACTGCCTTGTAGATAGGACCTTGTGCCGCGGATATCTAGAGTATATATCTGGTAACGTCCGACCGAGCTATGACGTCGGAGACGTCAGTGAGATGACCTGCGCTACAAGGAAGATGCTCCAGATGTCAACATGCAGGCCTGAGCTTGCTTTTGCGAAAGCAGTGGTCTTGGACCCAAGGAGATAGAAGCATCGTGAAATGCGGACATAGAACCGTACGTAGGTGATGGAATCATTCCATGACAGTACATTGGTGAATTTTTGAGAAATATACCTACCTCTCAAATCGCTCCAATGCTTAGCGTATGGAGCGTTTTTGGTGTGAATGTTAGTTTGCCCCGCTGGCATTATATCTAAAATTTCAACACAATTCTTTCCCAGATCTTCATGATCACTTTGACAGAGGTGCAGAAACTTCCGCACCTTGTAGTTTCACTATCAACATGTTTTATTGTTAAATATACCATTAATAATCAATTTTGTTATTTTTAAATATGCTCACATAGGTGCTGTAACACCACATGAAGGTAAATATGCACTGAAAAATAATGGCAATTTTTGATCCACTGTTTGCACTGTATGACCACTTTCTTTTGTTTCTCCTGTTTCAGTAGCAGTCTTATCTGGAAGTCAACATCAGAATGGTGAAGCAGACTACAGTGAAGAACTCAACAATGACGAACTCCGGAAAATCAAACAAAACTCAAAAAAAGCGCGTGAATAAAATAGTTGTTCAGATCAGGCGAGTTCCGAGTACAGAAAAAATTACCAAAGTAAGGAAGAGCATTGACTCAAAGAAGAATGATAACAAACAGAACCAAGCGGAAGAAAAACCAAAACGAAAATACCGCAAAAAGAAGAAATCCCCAGAAAACGGTGAGAAACTTAAATTTTCCATTGTTGATTACTTGCGAACTTCCATGAGCGATAAATTAAGTGCCGATGAAGTTAAAAAACTGAAAAAAGCTGAGAGAATAGCAGAGAAGAAAGCTAAAAAGTTGAATGGGAAAATCATGAACAAATCAAAAAATCCTGTGGATGATTTTGGGAATTATGAGCTTCTGGACAACGATCCGGACGATTTTATGATACCATTAGATGTAGTAATCAGTGATTCTGCTCCTGTGTCAGAAGATGATGCAGAATCTCCTAAAGATGGAAATTCTGGGCAAATTATTACATCTGACATGGATCTTGATTTTAGAGATTCTGAAATTGAGGGAAAAGTTTCAGAATTTAATGATGAAATCTCCGAGTCCAACAATGAATTCCTAGATGCTGATATTTTACGATCAGCGTACAAAAATGTTTTGGAGGTGGAAAATGTAGAGCCAAAGAAGAATTCGAAAGGGACGCATTTTTTGCTTACTAACGCAAGTGATTCCAAGTGCTGTGTCCAGTGTGGTGCCTCGTTTACCTGTGCTTATAAACTCAGACGTCACATGCTATCGCACAGCGATGAAAGGAAATTCTTTTGCAAAACATGTGGAAGTGGTTTTAAAACGAACTACCATCTGAGCCGACATATGACAAACGTTCACTACATTGTAGACCTTCATAGCTGTGATTTGTGTGATAAAGAGTTTACATCCCGGGTAAGTTTAAAAGAACATAAGTTAGATCAACACCCCAGTAAGGTTAGCCATTTTTGTTCGACTTGTCAAAAATCATACGCCTCCAGAAAGGGCTTGAAGAGACATCAGAACCAAATTCATGTCAAAAAATGATTGGTCATATGTTCTCAACACAAAACAATGATGTTTTGCTGACATATTAAGGGTTTGTTCCTTGAACCCTGCTTAGTTATAGATGGATGAGACGAGCATACGAAAATGACCAACTCAGGTAATTTTTTTGTAAATCGTTGCCTCCCTTCCAAGCAGTGTTTGAAACTCACCTTTGAGTTTTAGGAGCCATGTGGCGCATCAAGCCCGATTTTTAGGCGCCATTGAAGATTTTTTAGGGGCCAAATTGACTTTTTGCCTATATATTACGGCGCATTAGTGAAAAGCTAGACACAATATGTTTTCGTAACAGAACTAGTAAGTAGCTGTAACTTGGGGAGGACAAAAGCACTAAGAATGAAATCAAGCTTTCACTTGTAGTGCTGAAAATTCCGAGTTTTTTCAATTCAAATAGATTTGTTTTTCTTTCTTTACGTGACTTCCTTGAAAATCCAGATTTTTAGGGGGCAATTTTTAGGGGCAACGTTGGCCGCAGAGCCTTCATTTTTTAGGTGCCATGGCCAATTTTTTAGGCGCATTGGCGCCTGTGAGTTTCAAACACTGCTTCCAAGGACTACCAGAAATTTCAATTCTTATGCTCTCGTTACAACCATCTGATTTTTCTGTTTCTTTAAGTCCTATGAAGATTTTAGCTCGTTGAGACATTCTTAAAATGAAACATTCCAAAATTTTTTGGATTTAAACTTTATTTTGTCATTTGCACCTTGACTTTAACTCAGAAAATGGGCCTCAGGACAAGGTATGAATTGAAGCACAATGCTACGCGCTGTCACTTCACAATTCCACAAGAAAAACGAATCACACGACAGGAAGTCAGAAATTCAACTCCTGAACAAGATACAATTGTTTTCTATTAACATTGTTTAAATGGCAAAAATACAAATGACTTCATTCGTATGATCGAACTTCCATTTGAGCTGCGTCTAAAAGACATATTAATATTGTCATGGGTCGCTTGAGGGGGGAGGGGGGCGCCACAGCTCAAATGGGGTCAAGCTCGGGGAATATTCCCTATGGAAAATGATGGGTACGCCGAATTCTGGTAAACGCTTTATTGTGTCACACACTAAAAAACACGGTCCAAAATCGTACACTTACGCCTGGGTCCAACAAAATGACCCCCTTTACCGGCCTGTTCGGCTCTTTATAGCATCGGGTGCACGCCCAGCAACCGACAGACTTCTCGCTTAGTTTTCCCCAATAAATTGCCCAATTTTGACTCCGAGGTGCGCATCAAATCCATCAACACTACCACCAATTCCAAACAAATGGTCCTCTGCGCACATTTCGAGCCTCTCTCACACTCTGAGACCAAAGTCCGCCTCCAAGGCTCGGAAATGTGTGCGGTAAGCCACCTGCCCACAACCACTGCTGGGTTTCTTGGCTGGGCCCTTTTGCCCCAGGCAGGAATCTCGTCCAGGAATTGATTTCAAAACTTCCCACTGTGCGAATTGTTTTCTATGTACGATTTTGAAAAGAAAACATGTGACCTTTTCTTCTCCTTCAGACCTTGTCTTGTGGCCCATTCTGTGTCAATCAAAATTTTATTTTCTTTGCGTTTCAAGGAAAGATGGTCTCTGATCATCCTGTATGAGTCAATGTACCTGGTAAAGCCATGTAACTATATTATAAGAATAAAATTTGTGATCTAGATTCATCAAGAATTTTCGTTTTATCACAAACTTGTTTCGTTGTAAAATATCTATAAAACTACATGTAACAATTTTTTCTATTTTTTGTAAGGAAATTTTACTTTTCAATTCGATTCTCCTGAGCTGAGGTCTTTGCAAATCTGTTGTACCTAAATTCATTTTTGCTGTCTCATCTTTTAGCTTCACTTCTGAATTTTATTATTTGTTCTCTGATTGTGTTTTTTAAAAAGGCCCTAAACCAATGCAAAACCTTGCAAGTGGTAGCATAAAATGAAAAAGATCTCAAGTTAATTTCTCCTTTAGAATTCAACCTTTTTATGCCCTCTTGTGTCTGTGTGTTTTTTTAAATTATTTTTATTTTGTCGCGCAGTAACTAGTTGTTAACTTGAAGTCAAAGCAGGGAGCAAATATCATCAAAACCACATATAAAATCAAAATGGATACACTTTAGGGCTCAAACAAAAGGTTTCGATGGCTCAAGTTGAAGGACAAATACCTCCATCACAATGTCCTAAAAACTCTAGGTTTTTGTTCCCCCCCCCCCCAAGAAAATCAGTCGAAATGTCCCCTTGAAATTTTCTGTGTTTTTTTTAATGAGTGCAGGAAATTTCCAAAAAATTCCAAGGGAGAATATGGATTAATTTTTTTTAAAAGGTGAAACTTCAATCGCGTTTCGCTTAAAGCAATCAAAGGTATGCTTTTTCTGACTTTATGCATTCATTTGCTTTAGAATCTTCTTTGACCAAGATCTTTTTAACATTTGTCATCCAGAAATGTCTTGTCATAGTTTAAGTTATCACAGTACACATCGTAAGAGGCACCTCAGGGGGGTTGTAACATTTCAAGCACTATTGATAACTTTGATTTCTGTGTTCCAAATCTTGTTAAGTACTCCCATTTTTTAGAAAAACATTGATCACATTTTTGCTTGAAATTTGACAAGCATAATCCCCTTAAATTCCATTTTAAATATCTATACTCTCCTCTAATTGAGTCTAGGGCGGTTTAGAATCTACAATAATGTAAACCACACGTTTGTGATGCAATCACACAAAGAAATCTTGCTGCAAAATTTTGAGGCTCCAGTGTTTAGCATATTTATATGCAGGAAATTTTGCATGTGAACTTTTTTAAATGAAGATCTAAAATTTACTACATCACGTTCTTGTAACAATCGCTTGTCAAATGCTGTATAAAAAGTTGAATGCATTGAAAAAATGCATTCAACCTCATTCAACTGCATTAAAAAATGCATTCAACTGCCGGGCTAAAACTAACTGAAATGATTTTGTAAGCTATGCAGACTTGACTGTTGCACACACATTTAGGTGCAACCTCTCCCCCCCCCCCCCCCCCNTTCACAAGGAAGAAGAAAAAATATTTACCCAAATTCACATTCTAGACCCACTTGAATGTTTGATGAAAGTTGTAAAAAGTACCTTTTTCCTGATTGCATCACAAATACGTTTTTAGGATTTTATCTTTGTTCTTATAACTGTCACCGCCGCAATTTGAAGATCTAATGAATGTTTAAAGCTACCAATTATGTTTTTTCCTCTTACATTTTTTACTGTGTAATTTCTTTCAGATTTGAGCACTGCCAACCCTGAAAGATAAATGTTCAAGTTAAGCTGTTTACATGGGTAATATTCAATTTACTTGAAAATAATCTTACAGAGCAAAGGAAGTAAAAGAAAAGTATATAAACCACATCGTTCAATGAGAAAACAAACTACATAATGCAAAGTAACAAAGCCACATAAATACATGTTGTAATTATTTTTGCGCCAATAATTCATTCTTATCAAGGCTGGAACTACAAACCCATCCATTGCGGTTTGCGACATTGCAGATTCTCAAACACTTCTTTCTTTTTTAAAAGATACACAGTCGTTGGCACTGTGCAAAATTTTGTATAAAATTTCTCAGTTGTCTTAAGAATATTCTGTTATAATTTTGTTTTAAATTGTTGCTTGTATTTTCTGTTAAGAAAATGAAGTATGAGCAGTACTTAGTTTCAGAAAACAGCAATTAAGCTTTGTGGTTTCTCTATTTCACTAATAAGACGCAGACAGCTTGAAATTTGCTTTCATTTATCTTTACTGGCTTAGCAGTGTTCAAATTCAAAGGAAAAGGAATGCTCATTGTTTTCACACCGTTTGACTTTTAAATTATGCATCCAAAAAATCTGAGCAGCAATACCAATAACTTACGTTAATCTGAAAAGATTTAAATCTCAGTTGCTGAGCACCCACTGTTTTTAGTTTTAAGCTGCACGGCTTATGTGTTCTGTTTCCAGCAATTTTTCACTACTGAGCCTAGATTTATCGTGTGTTTTACCTTTGCGATAGGCATCTGGAGCTTGTCCAAGCAAAATTTGTTACCAGACCACCTACAATTTTTTTTGTAATTAGTTGTAAAATTTCAACAATAATTTTTTTTGTTTTCTCAATTGTTCTCTCAACTTGTTACGTAATTTTAGATTTCTATTTTTTATCTCAGGCTTTGGATTCATTAAAATCTTATAGTGTAACTGTAACAAGGTGGAAACTATAAAATTCTGTATTTACGAGTATATGCTAGGTTCCACGAAGGTCTCTTGTAAAAACTGTAGACCAGTCTTTTTTTTTTATTCCCACTCCAAATTTTAGTGAAAAGAGTACTTGTGAAGTATGGAGAGGTAGTTGTAAGAACTCATTACGATTCATTATTTTGGGATCTCAACTATAGTTTCTGTCAAAGTTAGTTATTTCAAAGGTTCATTTCTAAAAACCTGCAATGAAATCAGTCTCCTAGTCCTCTCAGTTGAAGGCCAGTGGAAGCACCAAACATTAGTCAAGGCTAAAGGAATTTTGTTGTTGTGAAAGTGGTTTTAGCAATCTGAGTATACCTGACTTAAAAAATGATCCTTCCAAATTAGGAGTAAGAGATGGAATTTTCAAAAAAATTGTCTTGCAGAACGAACTTTTCTGACTTGAAAGGAAAATTTCTAAGTATGAATAGACGATGTACATGCAGAAAAAACTTTACTGCTTCAAGCAGCCTTGACATATACATGGGTTGTAAGTATAGTTGTCTTATAAATAAAGACAAGTACCTCACAAATTGTTGCCTCTGAAAAAAAAAAGAAGTTCGGTGTCAGTATAAGTGTCCGTTTTTTTTCTAGAAAACTTTTAGTACGGACCTGAAATGATGAAGAGTAAATGGGTTTTACAACTACTTCTCTTCAAGAACTAGATTTTATTAAAATTCGGCGTTAGTATCCGAAGAAGGAACTGATTTCGGGTCTCTACAAAGGGACCTCGTAAAAACTAAGTCTTACTTGTAAATTAGGGTATTCACTGTTTTCGCCTTTTTATGACTAAATGAACACTATCATTATTAGTACATGGTTATTATAATGGTTTATTTTTACCTTAAATTTTTCAAATTGAGAAGGGTTTCATCAAAATTTGTATTTACTTGTCTCTAAAGAAGTGTCTTTCTTTTTCCCACATATATTTTAAATTTTGTGTGTTATCCTCATTATTTGTTTATCGTTTTTTGAAAACTACCCCACATATCGTGTTTGACACCCAAACAGACAAGAAATTGAAGTAGATATCATTAAATTTTGAAATTGAAAGGAAAGCACTGAATCAAATAACGGATGAGACACTAAGAGAAGTCAGAGTTCTCTTTTTCATTCCTGTTAGTCCAGGCAGTAAAGTGATAGTTGTTCATGGTGCTTGGTAATAAAATTAGTGAAAGGAGTTTCCATCCCTGATGAAATTTCGATGGTAATATTTCCAATTTACTTGATTTACTTTGATATTTTATTTTTTTGAAGAAGGTTTGACTATTATTTTTGTACAAAATTCGGTTCCATTTTCCCCTGCTTTCTCAATAATATTTACTGAAAATTTTTCCTAAAAATGTGGTGCAGTATTGGGTTCAAAAAATTAAATATGAATGGAAGTTTTTGAATGAGATCTGCGATGCCTCACTTAATACTTGTCACGAGGAGTGGACTCTTCTCAATTGCCACAATAGTTATTTCATCAGAAAATGTCCTTCTCAGCCTGATTTTGTGAAAAATACATCTGAATGTAATTAGCAACGTTTGTAATACTATTTAAAGTTTGATTTTTCAGGACTGCACATCCGAATGAAGTTGTCCACAGTTGTAGATATCTATTGCACTATTTTCTGCCTACAATGAACATTTCCTACCTTCTACTCTGGACTACCATGTTTGAAAATGTGGGTTCTAAAATGTGTACCATATCTAATTGATATTTGAGCTACATATTGAAATTAGGAACTACACTCTCTCGGGCTCATGTTAGAAATAGCATGTGTGCCATAAGTTTCCCCATGCAGATAAGTGCTTTAATGGATCAGCCTGAAATTGTAGTTCCTGATTGAAAAATGTAGTTCATTTAAACACTTCCTCACCCTCTGAAAATATTACCTGATTACCTAACATGTGTCTCATTATAAATGTAAAAAGTGGCCCTGATGGAACTTGAAATTTCTCATTGTTTTTTTTCTTTTTCACGAGGATGATGCGTTGGCAGCCATAGGTATGGTTGCTGCTGCGCCAGTTTCCAGCTTACCCAGATTTTTTTACCTTGCGTTCGGGAAGAACCTTTCTCTTGTTAATTTTTAATACTGTTTTAATGTTTTGTTTTACCAGAAATGAAGTACCTATGTTTCTTGTACCTTAGTAATGTTTAACTGTTGAAAGAAGTCCTTTGCCATTAAAATATTTCTTTACGGAAAATAAACTTATTTTTGCGATTAGCTCCTGCTTCTCTCTCATTTTTTTTTCTCCCAGAAATCTATTCCCGTTTAAATTTAGGTAACCCAGCAGGGCAAAGTTTGCCTTAAAGTGGAGGAAAAAATAATATAACTGTATCACAGTCTAGAGAGGTTAATTCTGCATCATTTGGCGCCAAGGACACGCAATAATTCTGAAAATTGACTCTTCGGCAGTAGTATAATTTTGAATACAAAAAGGGGAATTTGAGAAAACTGCTTTTTTAGCTCGCTGTTGTTGTTGCCAGTCTTAGGAATGAATTCACTTCAAACGCTTGTAACCTTATTTATAATGCAAATCAATAATTTAATGGAATTTTGACTCAGTAGGTATTTTTGAAAGGAGCAGCAAGTGTGCTGTATCAAAAACCGAAAAATTGATTTATGTTACTTCCATGCGGGGTTTTCCCCGTGCTGAAAAAGTTTAACTATTGTTAGGTATCCCTGGTAAAAATTGGCAGTAGAATCTGTGTTCCAAAATACCATAGACCTACAGCCGGCTGTAAGATTTCCAATAGCTGCCATAGCGGGCTACACAATTTCTTATAGCTTTTTATAGCCGATGGCGATTAAGCAACAGCCAGGCGATAAAGTGTATGCCAAACGTTACTAATTACGGATGCTAGGACTCGGTGAGTGTTTGGACTACTGCTCTCTTTTTGAGCTGTAGTATCTTGATTTCTTTTGCGAGGAAAGCTCCGTATGTTTTATGAGCGCCTTCAGTTTCGTATGATACCGTGCAATACCTCTGGTGTGAAATAGTTGCTTCAAGCGCCGTGGCACGCTGCGGCGCGGCAGGCGGGCAGCCATCGCGAAACGCGCATTGGCGCCTACAAACCTAACAGGGATACTTCACGCGTCGCGCAATGCGTGAAGTATCCCTGTTAGGTTTGTAGGCGCCAGTGCGTCGCCGCTCCGCTTTGTGTTGGGCTCTAATATTTAATTTGGCGGAGTCAGCGTTATTCAACTCATGATTTTGAAATGTTTATGCACATCCTGTATGGATTATTCTCATTTTAACGGATGAAAAAAAATATGTATTAAAGGAAAATATAATGTGTGTTTTGTAAATATTAAGGTGGTTCTGTATCAAACTTAATGATTTCCAAAGCACACGAATTTCTACACAATTTCTTTTAGCCTTTTATAATCGATGGCAAAGAAGCAACAGCCAGGCGAGAAAGTGTAAAGCCCGGCGATAGGAACTTTAGCCCGGCTGCATAATTTTTTATCGCTTCGTATAGCCCGGCCGTATGATTTTCTCCGCATTCTACAGCCAGCTACATGATTTTCTGTAGCCTTCTTTAGCCAGCTACAAGAATTCCTATGGTATTTTGAAACGCAGCTCTTATCGTCAATTTTTACCAGGGATATATGTATAGAGGAACATGATCATAAAATTCCGGGTCATTTTCAGGTCCAAGGATTTATTCACATCGAAGAATTACTTGGTCAGTCTCAATACTTAAGGCATGGAGAACCTAGCATAGTTACAGATCATGTCCATAATACCACTAATTTAACTAGTTACCATATTTTGCAATAATTCGAGATTATTTGCAATTAATACGAATATTATTGCTACTTACTGCGTTGGAGTGTTGTAAATGTTGCCTAACCACTAACTGAAGGGGTTCCTCTCGTTGAAACTCATCACAACAAAGTTGCAATTTTTCTTTGTATTGCATTTTTCCTATCTCTTTAGGATGTATGGAATTCATTCTATTGATTGGTAAAAATCGATTTTAATTTTGACCAGCTGATGTAAAAATATTGCAATTCCTTCCTTCCTTGCAATTTCATTGTATTAAATCGCAGCTTTATTTCTATATTTTCCTTGCTTCGTGTTACTTGGGTCTATTAGGAAAGATTATTAGGTAAAATCCATCAGTAAGTGCCCAATCCTTAAGGGTGGTTTCTCTTCGTTGATCCTGGTGCCGTTGCGCGCCTTCGAATGAGAGAAGAGGCAATTTGTGGAATCATAACGCAAAACTGCGGAAATTGGTACCCAATACCTATCGGCGGTAAAACTCCCAAATCTCGTATGGTTTGCGACGTCGCAGTCTTTGAATTGAAAACTATTCAACATCAACCCTTACAATTTCGGTGATTTTGTTTTTCTGCGCGAAGGAACTTTTGAGAAAACTTCAAAGAATAATAAATGATTTGAGCTCCTCTAAAAAAATAAAATGAGAGAAGAGATTTAACAACACCGCAGACGAGATACCTGATGTGAGAGTTTCACCGCGGTCGAATCGGGAATTCATTTTACTCGCCCCCTCCATCAAATGTTCTTTTATTAGGTATATAAAGGGATGGATCTTGAAAAGTTTGTAAAACAACGAATTTTAAAACATTCGATGCCTATAAAGACAGATAGTACAATACTTAAAATGAGAGTTAAATAAGTATTTATTCATTTTACATATTTGTTTGTATTTACCTACTTAGTTACCTACACGAACAATTTTTGAGGTGAAACAACCCATTAAAGTTAAATAATCTTACCGCAAAACCTACTTCACAAACGATGCGATTGCTGGAGTGTACTTACAATATACGTATCCTTACC